GGATGGATCGGATCTGCGGATCAGGGAGCATAATGGATCGGACTCCGATCCATTATGCTCAATCCTAAGATCCGATCCATCCTGTGGGGATCGTTGGCATGCAACCTATATGGGGTGACACCGTACCCGCTCCAAGAAAAGGTAAGTTGTAAAGAAAGCCAACGATCCCTGCAGGATGGATTGGATCTGCGGATTGGGGAGCATAATGGATCGGACTCTGATCCATTATGCTCAATCCGCAGATCTGATCCATTCTGTGGGGATCGTCGGAGGGGGTGTCACCAAGTGTTACCGCACCAGGTGACACCAACCCTAGGGACTCCTCTGCTGTAACTGGTTTGGAGTGCGCTCTAAGAGAATGGCTAGGATATGGTGCCCTGTCCCCTGAGAGGTACCTCTTAGCGTGAGCAATAGCTAAAGGTCTCTGTGTAGCAGCTGTAAAGGGATAGTCTTTAGTCCTAACTCTTCAGCTGGCTAGCGTTGGGGCCTAGCTGTACCATTGGTGCAAATGAGAGTAGTTCCATTCAAGCCTGCAGGAAGAAATAAGGCTACTAGACAGGGGTGGATTAACAACTCATGGGGCCCCTGGGCAATAGGGAATCATGGGGCCCCTATGTCCTAGCACACACTCAAACCACACCCAAAAAAGCCTCTGAAAGGTACCAGGGGCATCTCATGGGGCCCCCTACTAACCCTGGGCCTTCGGGCAATGCCTGAGTGCTTTAATGGTCAGTCCGCCCCTGCTACTAGATGACTATATGGTCAGTTCCTAAAGGGTTCAGTCTGTAGCGGCATATAGTAAATCCCCACAGCTGCAGCTCACCAGTCCCAACAATATTGCAGCTCTCCATCTGGTCACACAGTCCACTCTCTACTATGCACCCGGTGATTCTGTCTGTCGGCACCCCCAAACTCAGCACTCCAGATCCCGCTCAGGTCACTGATGTGCAGCAGTGATGGTGCAAACTGAACAGCAATATGCAACTCTCCAGGGGCGGACTGACAACGCATGGGGCCCCCGGGCAATAGGGGATCATGGGGCCACTGTGTCCTTGCCCAAACTCAAAAGAGCCTATGAAAAAGGTACCAGGGGCATCTCATGGGGCCCCCTACTGACCCCGGGCCCTTGGGCACTGCCCAAGTTTCCAAATGTTCAGTCCGCCCCTGCAACTCTCTGGTCCCTCTCACGGCAAGAGGAAGTTATGTCCTGTTCAGCCTGGGAAAATGCAGCCCTTCCCCTCCTCCCTGCAATCTCATCTCCGAGGAACATAGTTCAAGAGCTTTTGATCACCGCAGCAGTCTCTCCTCTGGACTACAGTTCCTACAATGCTTTGCTGCCTGATTCAGTCTATTGATCTCTTCCTGCTCAGCAACTCCCTCCTCTTGCTGAAACAGCTGTTAACCAGCACAGGGTGCAGAGAGCTACAGAGAGCAGCTGCAGCCAGTATTTCTCTCACTCTCCATTCTTAGCCAAGCACCTGGCTACATTATATTTTTTTAGTGCTTTTGCTATCACACAATGAGGTTAATTTGCTGACGGCAAATATACTGTTCATTGCAAATGACCCACAAGTACACTTCTAGTGCAGCTGTGCTGGATCTGAGGGGGAAATTAGGGGATGCTCTGATGACAATCATGTGCAACTAAAAATACTGTTTTTTTTTTTTTCCTTGCATGTTCCCCTCATATCTAGAACAATTGCACTTGCAGTGCACGGCCTATTTGTCTTTAGTAAATTACCCCAATGTTATCATACTAGAGAATGCAATACAGAGAACACAGTAGAGCTGGAAAAATCTCATTATGCGCAGTTAGTGGTGAAGGAATGGTGTTCATTTTTTTTTTTACTTTTTGCTATTAAGAGCTGATGTCTAAAAAAAAATCTGGTGCCTGTGCAGTTTCTTTCCTGAAGCACAGTAAAGGCCCATGTGATGTATAGGATTCAGAAACTATACATCACAGTGACATGGGTATTTACTGTGCCTAATGAGTTGGAGTTGAAAGCACCGCAGTTCTGAGTCTTTCGGATACTGTGCAATAGGGTCTCAGTCAATAGATATAAAAGGCTTCTAATCGATGCTTCTGCTTACTAAGCAAAGAGAATGAAATATCCAAGTACACTGAATCTGTCAGTTGTGTATTTCTGTTACAAGACAATCTCGGGAACTTTAGTTAGTTGTAAGGACATTGGTTTGCTTAAAGTGCAGCTCAGGTGAAACCTTTTTCATTTTGGATAGCGTAGGGAAGGTTAGACCAGCCTTTCTTGACCAGGATTTCCGTGGAACTCTAGGGTTCCTTCAGGGTTGTTCGGGGTTTCTTGAACAGTGAGCAACTGCTGATTCTCAGATGAGTAGCTACTATGAACAATGATCTTTTTGGTTATTTGTAGGGGAGGCATTCTTCCCAATTACTTCAAATTTAACCACTTGCCTACTGGGCACTTATACCCCCTTCCTGAGTCCCAGGTCAATTTTCAGCTTTCGGCGCTGTCGCATTTTGAATGACAATTGTGCGATCATGCAACACTGTACCCATATGAAATTTTTATAATTTTTTTCCCACAAGTAGAGCTTTCTTTTGGTGGTATTTAATCGCTGCTGGGTGTTTTATTTTTTGCGCTTTAAACAAAAAAAGAACAAAGCATTTGAAAAAAAAAGTTTTTCTTTGTTTCTATTATAAAATTTTGCAAACAAGTCACTTTTCTCCTTCACTGATGTGTGTTGATGAGGTTGTACTGATGGACACTGATAGGTGGCACTGATAGGCAGCATCGATGGGCACTGATAGGTGGCACTGATGAAGTGGCATGGATAGGCAGCACTGATGGGCACTGATAGGCAGCACTGATAGGTGGCACTGATGAGGCAGCATTGATATGCAACAATGATTGCCACTGATAGGCAGCACTCATGGGCACTGATAGGCAACAATGATGGGCAGCACTGATGGGTGGCACTGACTGGCATCACTGCTGGGCACTGACTGGCAGCACTGATAGGTGGTACTGCTGGGCAGCACTGATGGGCACTGCTGTGCACAGGCAGGTGGCACTACTAGGCACTGATGGGCACAGTTGGATGGCACTACTGGGTACTGCGGGGCACAGGTGGGTGGCACGTGTGGGTGGAACTGCTAGGCACAGGTGGGCGGCACTGCTGGGTGGCACTGCTGGGCACTTGTGGGCGCCACTGCTGGGCACAGGTGGGCAGCACTGATAGGTGGCACTGATGAAGCAGCACTGATGCTGCTGCACTGATATGCAACAATGATGGGAACTGATAGGCGGCACTAGTACGTGGCACTGATGGGCAGCACTTATGGGCACTGATGGGTGGCACTGACTGGCGGCATTGCTGGGCACTGACTGGCAGCACTGATAGGTGGCACTGATGAGTGGCACTGACTGGTGGCATTGCTGGGCACTGACTGGCAGCACTGATGGGTGGCACTGCTGGGCAGCACTGATGGAGACACTGCTGGGCAGCACTGATGGGGACACTGCTGGGCACAGGTGGGTGGCATTACTGGGCACTGATGGGCACAGGAGGGTGGCACTGCTGGGCACTGATCATCAGGGTACTGATCATCAGTGCCCTGATGATCGATGCCAATCCATCCTCTGACAATTGCTGGTTATCAGCAGTACTCCTCTCACGCTGTGAAAGCATGAGGAAAGTGCAGCCGATAACTGGCAACTGCATTTACCGATGATCAGCTGTGTCATTGGACACAGCTGATCATGTGGTAAAAGGCCACTGTGGTTGGCCTTTTACCACATCACATGATCAGCTGCGTCCGTAGGACACAGCGATCACGGAGATCACCGGGTGCACGCCCCCGGGGGCAAGCATTAGGGTGCATTCTGGGAGGACGTCAGTGCTGTAGCCGTCATTCAGCTATAGCGCGGTTGGCAAGTGGTTAAGAAGCATGCTTCCTAGTGACCATCTCACTAATGTAGGGATCTCCAAACTTTCTAAACAAAGGGCCAGTTTCCTGCCTTTCAGGCTTTAGGGGGCTGAACTATGGTCAGTGGGAGTAGAAGATGTCCTAGTGTAGGTGTGAACAATACCTCACCATTGGTGTCAGTTGCAAAAATTGTGACCCCTTTTTAATGTCAGTGGGAATAATACTACCCAATCATTGCTGTCAGTGGATGGATTACTGAGTAAAATAATGTCCCATCACTAGTGTCTGTGGCAGGAATTATGCCCCATTGTTAGTGTCTGTGGAAGAAATTGTTCCTTGTATAAGTAGGAGAAATAGTTCCCCAAGGGCCAGAATAAAGGCAAGCAAAGAGCCACATATGGCCCCCTGGCTACAGTTTGGAGACCACTGCACTAATGTACTGTGAACTTTTGATATAGTAAATATTAGTAAGGGTTCCCTGAGCCTGGAAAGTTATTTCATGGGTTCCTTCATATTAATAAGGTTGAATTAGACATTCTCTCAGGGTATTTTTGCTGTGTGCAAGATTTTGAGGTGTCACAGGAACAAAAACAGAGGGGAAATCTTCCAATTGGGGCACCTGTTACAGTTTGGAGACAACTGCACTAATGTACTGTGAACCTTTGATACCTTAATTATTAGTAGGGGTTCCCTGACCCTGAAAAGCTATTTCATGGGTTCTTTCATTTTAAGAAGGTTGAAAAATACTGGGTTAGACATTCTCTCAGGGTATTTCTGCTGTGTGCAAAATTTTGAGATGTCACAGGAACAAAAATAGAGGGGAAATGTTCCAATGGGGGCACCTGTTCAGGTGACAGTATCTAAGAAGGGATTTCCCTCACTTTGAAGAGATTTTCTCTTTCTTCCTGTTGTCTCTATTGGGCTGCAAGTAATGGGGAAATCTCCCAAACTGTACACAGATGGCCAAAAAAAGAAAATACTTGATTCATTTATTCCCTAATACAATGCTTAAAAAAGTATTGTTTTTTAATGTGATTTAACACTTTTTTTTTACCAAGTACTGTAATTGTATCTTTCTAGATCATATTGAAGAATGACTTCAGTATCGATGTACCTTCTTTTACTTGTTATGCCATTTGTGGCAGCAAAGTCCTCTTCACAGAATCCTGGCTGCAGGATAAGGATCACATCCAAGGGGCTGCAGTTTGGTGAGTAGAGTTTGATAAAGCAGTAATATTCTGGTCATTATGTATGTGTTTTGGCTGTAAATACTTGTAGAGTTCTTGCATAGTTACAGTTAGGTTGAAAAAAGACACATGCCCATTGAGTTCAGCCAGTAGACAAATATAAACAAAATATAATTGAATAGTTATGTAACACACTGCATTGTTACTGATTGTGGATTGCTAAATGGCCACAAGATGGCAGTGCTCTACAGGTCAGTTGACACAGGAAATTGTACAGCAATGCTTAGAATGCTGGGACATGTATGCTGCAAGCAGGATTTCTTCATTCAGTTTAGCTGACATAGAACTACAGATCCCAAGTGAGCGAGCAAAGGGGTAGAAGCACATAAAAGGGGAAAGCCTGGGAACCTGGGGAGAGAGGAGAAGACTGAGGGAGAGAGACAGAATGTGTGTGAGAGCAGAGTGCCAATCCAGTAGGCCTCAGGCTGGATCAGATTGGACCGGAGGACGGAAAAGGGAATTCCAGATCGCTGATCATACTGAAAGGCAGGATAGTCGATTCTGCATGCAAGTAGACTCGGGTTATTGCCATTGGCACCACTATCTCCATTGGAAGACAGCAAGAAAAGGGGGCCCCAAACAGCAAGGCCATCATTTCCACGCTGTTTGTTGAAGGGCCATGTGAGAGAGTTCTTAACCCATACCACACCACCATATGTTACAAGTGCCCTTGTTGTTGCCAGTTACTTAAGTCCAGGATGCTTACAACACAGACAGCCACATAGAGACGCTGTAGCCCAATCAGTCCCACAGCCTATCTACACCAGTAGCCCATTTGAGTACTTCACACAGTATATCAGCCTTAATCATTTCTGCTTACCTGATGGGCAGGAACTGTATATTATCTCAGGCCTGTTTTATACAAAAAAAGCAATACGTTCCATCAGACTGATTTCCTGCTCATCAAACTCTGTGTGATTATTGTGTGTGTTATAGCCAGGGGGTTACCAGGCCAAGATATTAGATGGTGCTAGAATGGGTTGTGATCCAGCCAGGGCTCAGAAGCTACGGGGAACCCAAAATACTCAGCGGTTCTTGGGGGGGGCAGTGCTACAGTTATTTGAAACCCACATGATCCTATGCTTAGCAGATTTTCTCTGTGCCTATTGGGCTATACTCCCTATTGCTGTCTGCAAGGCAGCAACATTAAGGCTCCATTCACATATAAGCATTTTAAATTGTGGGCAAAATCGCTGTGAATCTGCCTGCAATTTGAAAAAACATTAAATTTGTGTGCACTCTTGAAATGGCAACAAACTTCAATAACCCTATATTTTCTATAGGTAACACTTTTAAAGCCCCTTATAGGTCATCATTTTAGTGTTACGGAGGAGGTCTGGTGCTAGAATTATTGCTCTCATTCTGGCATGTGCGGCAATATGTAACATGTGTATCGCAAACATAATTTATGTGCGTACATATGTGGGGGTGGGGGGCCTTGAAAAATTTTGGGGGGCTTATATACTTGAGTGTAACTTTAATTTTTTAAAAATAATTAAAACATTTTTTTACTTAACTTTTTTTTTTTATCACATAGGGGACAAAAAGTTCCCTTATGATGATTTTTGGTAAAGGTTCTCTTTTTGAGACATCCAGTGTTTAAAAGACCCTGCATGTCTCCCCTGTGCTCCACTGAATGTAATGCAGTGCTCATCGCACCATATTACATTCTTTCCTGGCCTCAATGGCCGGGAATCTGTCAATGGGGACCGGGAAATGACGTCATCTTACTTCTGGGTCAGGACAAGAAGGGGAGGGGAGCGGATGTGTCTGCTCTTCTCCCTCCCCTATACACGCCGGCAGGCACTGACTGGTCCCAGGCCTGCAGGTGGACAAGCGGAGCCCGGGAGACAGCGGGGGGGGGCTTAGGCTGGCACCATAGAGGGCTGTGTGGACGCAATCAGGCGGCAGCGCTGCCGCCTGAATGCTTCCGTCTGACAGATGAGTCCTGTTGTTTGCCCACAGCAGGGCTAAAGGTAGCAAAAAACTACCTGCACGACACCTGGAACTACATGTCCCGGATGTTGGGCAATATAATTTGAGATGTTTCTTACATTTTTCACATGCGTCTCCTCTTTCTTATAGTGGGGGAGGGTGTTTACAGGACACTGTGCAGACAGACAGTGTGCCAACATAACATAAAAGGAAAAATGCAGGCTGTGATGAAAAAAAACTACACTAGTACATTTTTGAATGAACATTAGTACTAAATTTCTGAGTAAATTCGATGGCTTGACAAATGTCATTTAAATATTTGGTTTGCTTTCAACATTCCACAATAAAAAACACATACACCATTAGAAATGAGTTAATTAGAGAAAAGCTTTCAATCCTGCTCCTTCGAATTTTTTTTGTCACTGCAGTCAAAAATGAATGTCAATTTGACCCCACTAAAAACTGAACAGACATTCTTAAAACAAAAGATTTTGATGGAAATTATTCTAGTGTATGGCCAGCTCAAGTCAGATACTTCTTCTCTGTATTTGTTATCGTAGTGGCATGTAAAGGGTCCTGAGATAAAATACAGAAAACAATATTTGATAAGGTATAATAAACAGATGATACAATCCCCATAGCTCCTCCGGTCCTGCTGTTAAACAGATGTTCACAGAATCATTACAGCAGGTGGCTGAGCCTTTGGAAATTAATCACAGACAGCCAAAAGTCTGGAAAACATATACTTTTCCCCATCCAGTATAAAAATATATATAATTTTTTTAAGTGCACATCTACCCAAAATGTTTTTTTCTTAGAAACCGTAGGTAGGGTAGAACCCTGTCAGGGTTTCATTAGAGGGATTTACCCTAAATTTTTGTCTTTTTGATGGTTTACCAGGCAGGATGTAAAAGGAACTGCCTGCGTTTCTTTGAATCGGGTAATTTGTATGAAGATTTTATATATAAAATACAAAGCAGAACAAAGATTAAAAAAAACAAAACTACAAAATAAGAATACAGTAGAAAACCGTTCCATAAAGAGACCATAAGCATTCAGAACCTACCAAATTAATCCTGGACAGGCGAAAAAATTCATAAACCGAAACGTGATTTCCCATAGGAATGCATTGAAAAGCAATTAATCTGTTCCAGAGGTCAGAAAAAAGTTAAAAAAAAGTATTTTATCTGTTCAAAACTCTTTATAAAGATCACCGTAGCCTCCCTGGTGGTATTCCCATGTGTAGCTCGGGGTAAAGTTTCAGTACCACAAGTGGTAACCCCGAGCTACACTCGGGCTTACCATGCGGCACTGCTCAGGGATCTGTACTTCACTTACCTTGTCCTGCGCTCCCGCGATGTCCCTCCTGTAGTGTCCCCTGTAATGTCCTCCGGCGGATGCCGGCATCTGTCATCTGGGTTCTGTTCCCTGCGACTTCAGGACGTACGGGGATGGAACTGGCGGGAAATTTGAAAATGACAAAAAGTGACATTCACTAAATACACTAAAATCACATAGTAAAACATTACTGTATCAAACCATTTCACATACATTTTGTCCAGAGTGCTTTGTCCTGTGCCCTGCCTGCATTTTTACTGTTCTTTCTGCAGCGCATAAATATAGCGCGTTGTATCATATACTGTAGAAACAGTCAGACAAATAATGTTAAATAAATCAAAAGATATGGTAATATAATAAAATACATTGTAAATACTTCTATAAACATTGATACAAATTATAGAAATGTAAAACACATTAGAAACAGCAGAAACCTGACAGGTGTCAAAATCCTTTCCTACTGTTTTTAGAACTAAAAAAAAATGTTTTTGGCTTGGCATGCACATGATATGGTGCAAGGGGCAGTAATGGAAGGCAACCCAGGACAAAATAAACTAGGCTACTACTGATTGTTTCCTTCTTCTTGGTCTGTTTAGGTAGTAAAGGTACAAAAATCTGAAATATTTCAAATGTTTCAGATGATATACAACACTAATGGGGAAAATGAAATTGTTTTGCTTTCATTTTGTGGGAACTGGAAATTCACTGGGGAGGGGCCTTGACAATTCTAACCTGGATTGATTTGTGCTGTGTGACAGAGCTGTGTAAATCTCAGAACTGGGTGGACAAAAGTACAAATTATTTGGCAGGTAAACTTAAATATATTGTAACTGTGTACTTTGCTCTTTGCCTGGAGTTCAGCTGTTTTGAGAGATAATGTGCTATGGGGACCTCCTCTTCTCGGGTCACCTTCTGGCCCCTCCCTCCTGCTTAGTGCCCCCCTAGCAAGCAGCTTGCTTTGAGGGCACCCGAACCGCTACTCTATGTGTCCATTTACACACAGAGCGCCTGTCAGCCCTGCCCCCACTCTCTTCTCAGTGGCTCACTGGCTGTGATTGCAGAAGTAGGAGCCAATGGCAACCGCTCCTGTCTCAGCCAATGAGGAGGGAGAGACCTGGAGAGCTGAGGTTCTTGTGCACATCACTAAATCAAGATGGGGCTCAGATAAGTTTTAGGGGGGGCTGGGGGACTGCAGAAGGTTTTTTACCTTCATGCATAGAATGAAAGTAAGGCTCCTCCTCTCTCTCTCTCTCTCTCTCTCTCTCTCTCTCTCTCTCTCTCTCTCTCTCTCTCTCTCTCTCTCTCTCCTCACAGGACTCAGAGGCAGCAGAAGGAGCCATCCTGTGAGGAGGAAGTGGGGGCGGAGCCAAGATGCTCTGTGTGTGTCAATAGGTGCACACAGACTGACTTGGGATTGAGCCTGCATGAGCCTGCAGCAAACGGCTTGCTATGGGGGCACTTGAAAGGGAGGAGGAGCCGAGCGCGCCAGTGGGGGACCTCAGAAGAGGAGGTTCAGGGTCATAACATCAACACGGGGACAAGGTGCTTTGGGGGAGAGCCCCCTCCGCCCAAAATTACCCCCCATGTTAAGGGCTTGTGGCCTGGTATGGTTCAAGGTACCAGCGAATGCCCCCCCCCTTTCCCGACCTGCCGGGCTGCATGCTCGGATAAGGGCCTGGTATAGATTTTGGGGGGGACCCCCACGCCATTTTTATTTTAATTTTGGCATGGGGGTTCTACTCAAAATCCATACCAGACCCAAAGGATCCATACCAGACCCAATATGGATGGAGGAGAGGACCCCACGCCATTTTTAAAATAATTTTTTTAATTACTAGCAATTCTTTTTTTTTACATTCAGCTGTTAGTGGGGAACTCCGATGACAGCTGAAACATTAACGCGTGGTTTTCACTACTAAAATACTGCATGACTTGATAAAATAACTCATGTGGTATTTTAGTAATTTTTTTTGTGAATTCAAACATTTTTTTCTTAAATGCTATGTGGTATCCTACCTCATACTCCGATGCAGTAAGATACTGCTTAGTGAATTGTGCCCAGTGAGCCTCTCACTGGGCCCCCTTCTGACCCTGGGCCCTCAGGCAATGCCCGAATGCCCAAATGGTCAGTCCGCCCCTGCCCCCAGCTCCCCTAACACTTACCTGAGCCTCATCCTGATCCAGTGATGTCCATGAGAGCCTTGATTCTCTGGGGACTCTCATTCCTGATTGGCTGAGGCAGCAGCAAGAGCTATTGGCTCCCAGTGCTGTCAATCACAGCCAGTGAGCCAATCAGGAGAGGGAAGGGGTGGGGCTGAGCTGTGGCTCTGTGTTTGAGTGGACACGCAGAACCGCTGCTCGGGAGCATGCTTGCTTGGGTACCTCCATAGCAAACTGCTTGCTGTGGAGGCACTCAACAGGAAGGAGGGGTCAGGAGCACCGGCAGGGGACCCGAGAAGAGAAGGATGGCGGCTGCTCTGTGAAAAATCATTGCACAGAGCCGATAAGTATGACATGTTTGTTTTTTTAAAAAACAAGACTTTACTTTAATTCAGTTCTATTTTAATAACTTTAGGTTATTAAAATAGAACTGAACTCTGGAAGCTGCACCCACCAAAATGAGGGCAGAGGACAAAGGACTAATCACCAGTATTGCCTGTAGTCTCCCTGCAGCTGATTTTTACTCTTTACTGACTTACAATGCCTGTACTGTGTCTCTGTGTGGAGGTGGCCCTTTTAGAAGAGACAGGGTTTTTGCTTCCTCGTGTTGGACTCTACAGCAAGGAGAACAGCGAGCAGAATACTAGTGTCTTCCTCATACCCTGATGCAAATCTCATGAGACTAGCAGTCAGGGGTGGGCAGGTGGGATGGCTGTCCTGGGCATTGTGGTATCATGTGAGGTGGGGTGGGCACCACAAGGAGATTGGGGCGAGGGGATTTGTGTTGAGAAGAGGAACTGGGGGGGGGGGGGCAGCAGGGGTGAGAACTGTAGGAGGGGAAATTTGAGGAGGTGGTGATTTTGGGGGGATTTGTGTTGTGAGGGGGCATGGGGGAAGAGGATTTGTGCTAGAAAAGGGGACTTGGGGGGTTTGTGTTATAAAAGTAATATGGTGAGGGGGAGGGGATTTGTGTTAGGAGAGGAATATTTGTCTTGGGGGGGGATTTGTGCTAGTAGGATGGGGGATTGGGGGGGAAATTTGTGCTGGAAAGGGGGATCTGGAGTGGGGGGAGAGGATTTGTGCTTGGAGGAGACATTTGAGAGGTAGAAGATTTGTGCTAGGAGGTGGATTTTTCTAGAGTTGGGGGGGGGGGGGGATTTGTGCTGGGGGCCTATGGGGAGAGAGAGGATTTGGGCTGGGAGGGGGGATTTCAGCAGGGGGCGGTATAATACTGGGAGGAGGGGAAATTTATGTTGGGGGTAAGCATGCAGATTAGTGCTTGATATTGTTCAAGGGGGGGGGGGGATTTTTCCTTACACATAATGCTCATACATCTTGGAGAGGGGGGCGGACATTATGGTATGTTTCCCCTGGGCTTTAATGACCTTGTTCCAGCACTGCAACAGTGCCTTAGATCTCACACTGCAGATACACAGCTATGAGGCTACAGCACAGGAACACCTAGCTACTGCCACATACCAGAAGGCGCACCAATATATTCCAGGAGGAGTTCTAGGCAATATGTAAGTTTCAATATGTAAAGCTTGTTCCCTATAACATAGTAAATCCTCAAATTTTCAGGTCCACTTTCATATATTTAGGATATACAATACATTTGATTTACATTTTACAAGTAGATAATGGTGTTTCTTATATTCAGTAAAACAGGAGGGCCTGAAGTTTGTGGAACAGGAGCTGGAGAATATTACAATCCCGGATTTGACTGGCACTGAGGGGAGATTCTCCTACAGCATCAACAAGTGAGTATGTATCCACACTTACCGGCTGTCCTGGACTGACAACGCCCAAGGTGATGGGGCTTTGATTAAAAAGGATGGAGTTCATACAAGTTAGGGATGTGTTTGATTATAAATGGCAGATGGGCAGCATGGTCTTTTCTGTCCCATATTTAAAGAGGTCATGTTGTAGTAGAGTAGAAAGTAGAAATGTATAGAATCAATGTTCCCTGATCCCACTTTCACAGGTAGGAAGGCTATGACGGTGGGAGTATGCTTCAATGAGGACAGTGTGTTCTGTTCCTCTTCACCCTCCACAGCCATCCGAGAACGTAGCAAGCAATGAGACTACTGCTTTGACAAATGGCATTTTTTTTCCATCTTCAAGCACTTTCCTGAAGCATTTTAACTGACGTGCCCCACTCCCCTTCATTCCTCGTGAGACTCGTGTCTCAGGAAACTTTGGAGACAGAGAAAAGTGTCATTTGTCAAAGCAGATATCTCCTTGCTAGCTGCGTTGTTGGACAGCCATGGAAGAAGGAGGGATGCTCTGTCTGTCTGACCTCCTAGTTAGCCTTAGACAGCACATAGGAAGATGGGACAAAATACTAAACATATATTTTGTACTATATATACATGTATGTATGTATATTTATATATTTGGACAAAGTACTAAACTTTTTTTGTCCCATGGGGAACAGAACACTTTAAGAAAAAATTGGAGTGAAACGTCTTCTTTAAAGGTGCTTTTCTGTAACATAGTTTTGCTGGGAGTTTTTGGTAATCACATATATACAGTGCAGCAAAGTTGTGTTCATTCGATATATTCAGTGCAGCAAATTTCTGTTTAGAATGGTTTCTTTCAGACTACCATAAGAAAATGGTATTTATTTCAGTTTTTTTTTAATCAGTGTGTGTTGGCCAAAAACATAATCATGTAGGTCCTCTGACATCACTGCAAGATTATGTATTAGGCCTGGTTCACACCTATGTGTTTTTCAGTGCGTTTTCAGTTTTGCAGAAATGCACTGCAGTCCATTTAACATGGTTTCCTATGGGTCACGTTCACATCTGTGCATTTTCTACCAGTGATTTTTTTTTGGAAAGGGTCAGGGACTTTTTTCTCTACAGCAGGTTGCATTTTTAGTTCTTTAGTGCTTTTTTTCTGCTGCGTTTTTGCTGGTTTATCCAGCAAAACAACAGACATCCCCAAAAAAACAAAAATACATGCAAATTGAGTGTGAATAAAATGCAAAATGCACCAGAAAACTGCTGAATGCAACCTGCATAGCTGTGAACTGGCTCTAAAACACAACTAAGGCCTGGTTCACACCTATGTAAATTGTGTTTTGATGCATTTTCCCAGTGCATTTTGCATTACACAACTAATGTTTTAAGGCTAGTTCACATCATAGAAATGCAGTCTGGATGCGTTTCTGCATGTGTGCGGTTTTGATGCCTTCTGGTGCATTTTTTATGCGTTCCAGTGCAATTCCCCCCTATTTATTTCTTCATCTTAAATAGGGCCATGTGAGTTCCGGTGCATTTTGGTGCATTTAGGTGCATTCCAGTGTGTTTTTGATGCGTTTTGCACTGGAAAGCACTGGAATTGACCAGATTGGTGTGAACTAGGCCATTGGAACCCATATAATGTACTGTCCATGTATTTTTGATGCAGAACAAAAATGCACTGCACTGCATTTGGTGTTAAGCGGTCTTTAGACCAGAAAGTTTCATTTGCAGGCAGGGGCGGACTGACCATTTGGAAACTCAGGCACTGCCTGAGGGCCCGGGGTCAGTAGGGGGCCCCATGAGATGCCCCTGGTACCTTTTTCATAGGGTTTTTTTGAGTTTGGGCAAGGACACAGGGGCCCCATGATCCCCTATTCCCCGGGGGCCCCATGAGTTGTCAGTCTGCCCCTGTTTGCAGGGCAGAACCAGAAGATGTGACAAACTACCTCTGTCTGACCATAAATAAAACTAGCAGAGGACTGGCAACTTTGGAAATGCGGACGATATCTAGGGTTGATGTCTATAAAGGGTTTGCAACAAAAGCACATCCTCTGCTCTATGCATTGCTTCTCATTGCTTCTCCTTAGTGTTAGGAGTTCTGTATTGGCTTATAATCATCATTGTTAACAGGGACCCATACTATGGCCATATGGTGAAGGGGGGCTGGCTGTATTAAATCTACTGGTCACCAGTGTTAAAGGGGACTGTTAGGTATGCAGTATAGACTGGGTGCATGCATAGTGGTCACTAATTGCTCAGGAAGTTTGGGTCCTCAACATAGTTATGCTATAGGATACTATTATTTTTAGTTAGAACCCTATTCTTTTCCATAAGAGTAGTAATACATAAGAATAATGACAATTTACTGTAATAAAAACCTTTTTATACAACTATGTTTTCCTGCACATCTGAAGGTAAGGTCTCCTGACTTTCTGCTCCCAGTAGATCTTTTAAACAGATCATACTGGTTGAGTTGATGATGCTTGATATTGTTAAAGCTGGCCATACACACTGAGCCTTGTATGGAAGATCTGATTTAGAAGTGAGGGCATATCTAAACAACCTACTGACTTTGTTTCCAATAAGACAGGCATTTCACTAGGTGGAGATTATAAAATCAGATTCTAACAATTTCGGCCATATTTAATTTATAGAGAGAGCAAATTAGCTTTTTTTTCTTTATGTCTCTCTTGGGATTCTTTTTTTGAAATATAGATATGTGCAAAAATGTACATTTTTCAGTAGTAGACAGTTCAGAATAACAAACATGGGGGGAAGTTTTTACGAAGATCCCAAATTTTGAATGGCCTACATGCAAGTAGACAAGTAGATTGCAAATCTATATATACAGCAATATACTGTGTGTATATATATATATATTTTATTTTATATATATATATATATATATATATATATATTAATGTAAACCACTTTTGTCTTTTCCAGTGTTCGCGTCACACACTTACAGCTCGCGCAATCAGAACTTTTGTTTCAGCCTCACAGACAACTGGTGTTAGACATTAGTAATGCATCCATCAGTCTTAACTTCCAGAGGAAACTTCTGTACTGGCTCTTGTGAGTATATTCTTCATCATAATTGTATCCAAATGAAGAACAGTGTTTATCTAGAGCAGTGGTCTCCAAACTGCAGCCTGAGGACCAGATGCGGCCCTTTGCAGGCATATAACCGGCCCTTGGAGCAGTATTCCTCCAACAGAGATGGGGCGCTATTCCTTCTCCTACTGACCATAGGTGCTATGTAACTAACCACCAACCCTGAGGCATTTATTTTTACTGATTCTAGGCCTGGGATATTTTCTACCCCCACGGGCCACAGTCTGGCACCCCTAAAGTCTGAAGGACAGTAAACTGGCCCTTTGTTTAAAAAGTTTGGAGACCCCTGATTTAGATCTTTATTGGTGGAGAGAGAGCTGGAAAGACTAAACAATGGTGGCATCCAAAATCTAGAGCTAGATTGATAAACATGGTCCAACACTTGCAGTTAGTGTAACTGGTGGTTTGTCATTTTTTTTATGCAGCTACGATGTGGGAATGATCAATGCATCAGCAGAAGGAGTGCACATTAAAACAGAGCTGGATCTTTCACGGGATTCAAAAGGACGTTTGAAGATTTCCAACATGACATGTGATGCGACTATCAACAGGATGCAAGCTGGATTCAGTGGAACACTCAAGTAAGCAACGGGGCATTACTAGTGTTGCCAACTGTCAGTCTTTTTACTGACAGCCGGTAAAAAAAACTGAGACTTTTCTCCTGCCAGTAAATGCTAGTGACGGGAAAAGGTTGCCAGTTAAAAATATGGCTGTGATGCTTAGCTCAGAACTGCACATGTGCAGTTCTGATCCAGAGCCAGCCAAGACCACCCGAGTGCCTGCTACAGTGTGTCTGGGTGGAGTTGGTGGGGGATGTGTTTGGCGGAGGCGGTACCTGAGTGTGTTGTGTGATGTCATGGTGCAAGGGAGCCAAGCGGAGTGGCCAGAACCTTGCATGCGGGTCTGCAGGATGGGAGTAAGGCAAGCCGGGAGCAGGGCTGTCAGTACTGCTTGGACTGGAGTGGACTGAAGGAACCATCTGGCATGGAGAGAAACTGTCACTGTGACTCGGGATGGAATGTGTTATGTCAGTGAGGTGTCATCATCTGTGCTGCTGTCAGTGTCACTGTGAGCGTTAGTTTCATATCTGTGTGCCTGCCCATTCTAATTTCTTGCCCTCCTGAGTCCTGTCCCTGAGCTATTTATTTATTATATCGAAAATAAAATACATTTTTTTTTGCCTTATTATTTATCTTAAATCACATTGCTAATTGCATATTGTTTGTAGCCTAAATGCTGAAATTTGCATTTTAACTGTAATTTTTTAATTTAGAAATTCCAGTAAAACTTTGCCTGTGCTAGTAAAATTTGGGTATCGTGTCAGTGAATTTCAATCTGGTAGGTTGGCAACACTGGGCATTACTGTAATGTAACTCAGTTTTAGATGGCGCATTACAAAATTCCAAAGAAGCCATGCCCAAAGTAAGTTCGCAATGGTCTTATTGTATTCTACAATATCCCACTCCTTCCTGCTTAATACCGCTCCCTTCCTTTGTCATTAATGTCAAAGGTGTACTTATAACCACAGCAGACCACACAATTACTTTGGGGCCCAGAAACATAAGGGGTCCATACTGTCTGAATGCACAGTCGTAAAATGCAGATACGCAATAGAATCTGGCAAATACATGTGAATTAAATGAATGTACATAATGTTTAGGGAATCCCTTTACAAATATGAAGAAAACATTAGTATTCTGTATTGCCATAGGAACTTTAGAGATACAGGGGTCCCCTTAATGGTTATGCTATGGGCCCCCCCAGCCCTAACAGATAGTTACAGATTGTTGAGTAAGCCAGCATAAATGGAGCTGAAAAAATACTGGTTCAACAAAAGTGAGAACGTGGCAAAGCTATTTAAATCCCAACTCCAACCAAACTTTTTAAAAAGTTTAATAAAATACAGAATAAATGAAAATAAACTCTGAAAATCATATACTCAGCAATTTCTTTATTTAAAGCTGTTTTTGTCCCCATTTGGGAGAGCCCCCTTACTTCCTGTCCTGTTAAAACCTGAGTCTGCTTTTTTCTAAAGGAGTTGAGAATCTTCACACAATAAATTGTGTAAATATTCTATTCAGTTATCTAATTATGTGAAAAATAAAATTCCTGTTTACTTATTTTCATCTGCACACAATTTCGTATTCAAAGTGAGCAAGAATTTGCTTTCCACATGACTGGATAATGAAACTGAACATTCACACAATTTATTGAGTGAGGATTCTAAACTTCTTTAGTGAATCATCCCACATGCGTTGGTTTGACATTGTGTCTCCGAGGCAGAAATAAGAAATATTCTGTGTTACGGGGACGCAGACATCATTAATACTTGGCAAAGATTCTACCCACTCTATCCCAAACATGAAAAAGAGTTTTGGGTGCAGTTGAGCTTTAAAGTTGAACTCCTAAATAAGTGCATTTTGTTTAAATACAAGAGACACATGTATTGTTACTTGAATCTTTGCCATGTTTTTGTAATTCTTAAAAATTTGTGTAGTACTCTGTTGTGAAACTTTTCCTTTGTGTGGGAGCTTCCTGTAATCAAGACCAGTCACTGCTGCTCCCTCTCCTTGTGCAGGGTTGCTGGTCTTGTATCCGCCCCCTCCAGGCAGCCTATATTGGATGGGGCCTTTTGAATCCCTCTTACAGCTCTGCTATCTGCATAGGCTATGTGCAGTTCATTGATGATATCACCACTACGTTTACAGAGTAATAACTGTGTTTAAAAAGGCATTTGGCACACAAAAAGGGATTTCTATCTTTGTGTCTGTTGACAGACAGGAATGAAATGGAAACTTTTTGCCCAAAGTTTACCTTTGTGTTATTGCTGCACTTTAAGTTCTTCTGTTCACTGAGTAAATTCTGCAATTAATGACTACAGGACAGCATGTAAAAACCAAAACTGGATGGAGTAGTCCCCCAACTAATAATAAGTGACTTACCATGGAGCGGAGTTTATGTAGAAACAGTGCATGCCTCCTTAAAACAACAGAATGGGAAAAATTCTTGCACAACCTCTTTAGACCACATCCAGAGTTTTGCTTTATTGGGCGTATCTTAAATCTCTACTTTGGTCTCAAGTAAAACTGTTCTTTCATTGCAGGAGGGTATATGAATTCCTTGCTACATTCATAACCACTGGGATGCGATTCCTTTTAAACCAGCAGGTAGGTTTGAAGACTCTAAAGAATGTGAATATAGTGGCAATCAGGGGTGGACTGACAACTCATGGGGCCCCCCGGGCAATAGGGGATCATGGGGCCCCTGTGTGTCCTTGCCCAAACTCAAAAAAGCCTATGAAAAAGGTACAAGGGTATCTCATGGGGCCCCCTACTGACCCTGGGCCCTCGGGCGGTGCCCGAGTTTCCAAATGGTCAGTCCACCCCTGGTGGCAATGACAAGAACAGGGGAAAGATAGCAGGGTAGGAGGGAACATTTCCCTTGGGTTACACTTGTTTTTATATATGAATATCATTTCTGGTACTTTAATAGTATATGTACATGGCCCGGTGTTTTCAGTAGCTGTGAATGCCTTATGGTAGGGATGCACTGATACCAGTATCGGTGCCAATATCATAGTATTTTAATGAGTACTAATACCCATGAAAATGCTCCTGATACCAGAAACTGATACTTTGCTGTGCAATTTACATCAATACAAATTGCACCACAAAGATTAGCATGCAGTTTGAACAGGAAAGCGATTCCTGTTCATATCACATGCGGTTTCCCCACTGCTCCTGTGTGAACCCAGGAGTTCAAACAGGAGCAGTATGGCAAACCTCCCTGCAGGCATCCCATGCTGAGCTGAGAGTGGATGTGTGGGGATGTATACTATGGAGGCAAATGCTCCGTATTCTCAGAAGTAGGAGAGGAGAGAAAGCGGAAGGGATTTGAAATCCCTGCCGCTTTCTCTCCTCTCCTTGCAGGGAAGACAGTTCGAGCTAGAGGGCTTTTGATTGGTCAGCACCGTCACATGGACGGTGGTGACCAATCAGATGCCGTCGAGCCTGTACTGTCATTGCTGCAAGGAGAGGAGAGAAAGCCGTGGGGATTTCAAATACTTGCCGCTTTCTCTCCTTTCCTAGAGCTTAGAATATGGAGCACCTGCCACCATAGTATACATCCCCACACGCCCACTTTCTGTTGCGGGAAACCTCCCTGCACCGCTCCTGTATGAACTCAGGCTATGACAGCCTGGGTTCACACAGGAGCAGTGGGGAAACTGCATGTGATTTGTACAAGAATTGCATTCCTGCTCAATTTGCATGGTATTCTTTGCGGTGCATGTTGCATTCATACATTTTGTATTGACGCAAATCACACTGCAAAGGATCGGTATTCGGTATTGGCGAGTACTTGACCAAAATATTGGTACTTGTACTCTCCACTAAAAAAAAGGGGTATCGGTGCATACCTACCTTATGGCCATAATGTGGTGAACACCTGACTGTCACACCTATATGAGCTTGTTGGATATCCAATTCAAAAACTACAGGTATTAATAAGAAATCCCCCCCCCCTTCCTTTGCAACTATGACAGCCTCCATTCTTCCAGGGAGGCTTTACATGAGATTTTGGAGTGTGACTTTGGGATTTTCTACCTATTCAGCAATAAGAGCCTTTGTGAGGTTAGAAACTGATATTGCATGGGAAGACCTGGCTAACTGTGTTCTAATTTGTCCCAAAGGCGTTTAAGAAGGTTAACTCTTTCCCATTTACCCCAGCATCCCTTTAAAAGGTTCTGAACACCTGGGGGGCAGGAATAATCAGTGATCAAGTGACTGCTGGGATTGACTGTCACAGTGGTCACATGGTCAGAAACCGGTCCCGCTGGCTACCAATCGAGAGCTGTTTTTGACTGCACAAAAACAATAGCCACCTAGTGAAACATATGTGTGGCATGTGGGCGATAAAGTCCACCCTTTTACTGCTGCACATATGCATTGTGCAGACGGATACAGATTTAGGTCAGTGTTGTGTAGGCCTTTGGTGTTTCACTACCTCTTACTCATCAAACCATGTCTTTATGGAGCTGACTTTGTATGCAGGAGCACAGTCTTGTTGAAATAGAAAAGGGCCTTCCCCAAACTGTTCCACTAGGCTGGAAGCACACATTTGTCTAAAATGCTTTGAATATTGTAGAATTACTGTTACCATTCTCTGAAAACACCTGAACTCATCAAACTGGAGTTACATTTTGCCATACTGGGTGATCATTTTCACTTTTAATGTGAATTTTTAATTTTCAGATTGTAGTGAATAAGGTGAAACAATTCAGTCTGCAAAGAAGATCCAATCATGTGATCATGTGAAAATTACCAAAACAGGATTTTTGCGTGCACGTTTGGATGGTTGATATTAGCATACCTCATTCAGTAATTTAAGTGAATTTTCTCTTTGCTAAGTGAACCTTCTTGTTGCAGAGGTGATTTTAATTTAGTGTAGCCTCCCTGGCGGCATTCCCGAGTGTAGCTCGGGGTAAAGTTTCAGTACCACAAGCGGTAACCCCGAGCTACACTCGGGCTTACCATGCGGCGTTGCTCTGGGATCCCTCGATCACTTACTTTGTCCTGCGCTCCTGCGATGTCCCTCCTGCAGTGTCCCTGGCAATGTCCTCCGGCGGATGCCGGCATCTGTCTTCTGGATTCCGTCCCCTGCGAGCGTCGAGACGTACGGGGATGGAACGGCGGGAAATTTGAAAATGAAAAAAGTGACATTCACTAAATTCACATAGTAAAACATTACTCTATCAAACCATTTCACATACATTTTGTGCTTGCTTTGTCCTGCGCCCTGACTGCATTTTTACCGTTCTTTCTGCCTGGAAACTGAGAAAAGTCCATGGCGTCCAAAAAGTGTCCCTTTAGGTCAAAATCGGTTTTAGAGCAGCTAGAGAACAGCGATAGTAAATTAGAACTACTTGCAGAATTGAGTGATAATGATTCGTGGGGAAATTCGCCATCAGACACTGAAAACGATTCTGCGACTTTGCTATATTTCAAATTTCAGTGTTTTTGGTTTGATTATATTATTGAATTAAATGTATTATTATATTATTATTGTTTATGATTATTTATTAAATTATAATTTATGATTTCATGTTTCAAATTTTAACATACCCGGGATGTTTACTAGACTCTTGTTCGGACAGATTTCAGTAAGTTATTCCTAAAAATTACAGGCCTACAATAAAAAAAAATACATATTTCCATGCAAAAAAATGTACCGCTTTGAACACAGAAACATGGACATAATCAGACCGCTAGGGAGGTTAATGGTGCATTGGCAGTGTGGTTAATCTTCGTTGGGTAATGTTTTTTTGAACTGTTATTTTACCAGTGTTCCAGTAAAAATTAAAAGCAATATCCTGTTACATAACAGCATATTTTCTGAATTCATATGCCATAAATTCCCATATTTCTGTATTTTTGGAATTCTGAGCTGCTACTGACGTATGTGGTCCCCTGGCTAGAGGAAAAAGGTCTGAAACAGGAGCTGCTGGGCCCTGCGTCATTTGTGGTGTTACATACATAAAACAACCTATAACATAGTTTATGTGTTTACATGGTTTTACAAGAAGGGCAGGCACCTGTATTCTATTATGGCAAGCCTTCAATGCATTCCTTTTGAAAAACACATAATAATCAAGGGGCCAGACCATATGTGAAGGGCATAATTAACACCATAATTACATCATATGTGAAGGTGATTAGAGACTTCATTCTTTCATATTATCATGCACATAGGGTGCCCAGATGCTGTATGATATTGCATGTTTTTTTTACACATGTGTATATTTAAAGTACAGTTGTGAGTGTATATTATATTCTTAACAGAAACATATAGGGGTTGATTTACTAAAACAGGAGAGTAGAAAATCTGGTGCAGCTGTGTATGGTAGCCAATCAGTTCCTACCTTCTTCTTGTTGTTCAATTAGGCTTTGACAAAAATCCTGGAAGCTGATTGGCTACCATGCAGAGCTGCACCTGATTTTGCACTCTCCAGTTTTAGTAAATAAACCCCATAGTCTTATTTTAAAATATACAGTACATGTTGAAGAGATCCACGTAAATAAAATAAACTTAGTGTATGCTAATGTTTAAAAACATTATTTTTATTCTTAATTTGTAATTATACTAGCAATATGTAAATATGCTTATTTATTGAATGGGGCAAAATTTAGAAGTCCCAGTATGAATAATTTCTTTCATAAGCAACTTATTTTTGACAATACTGTCATACTAAGAGGTATGAAGTAAATGACGTTCAGCACAGCATTCAGAGTGGATCTTTATGGAGTATGTAACATACTGCAGTGTTCAGAATGAAGCAGTTTATACCTAAAGCGTACCTTCACCCTAAGGGGGAAGTTCTACTTTATGCACTCATCTCCCCCTCCTCTTCTGCTTTTGTAACCTTTTTTTGAAGCGCTGAGGGGCAGGGCGCCGGTACCTGGCTTTGACAGGTACCCATTCCCAATCGCCACGATTATCCTAGATTGTGAGCTCCCAGGATCAGGCCCTCCTATCCCTTTTGTATTGAACTGTATTGTTGCTGTATTGTCTCCCGTTATATTGTAAAGTGCTGAGCAAACTGTTGGTGCTATATAAATCCTGTATAATAATAATAATAATTCTACCAGAAGCCCCCTGTGTATAAGTAAATCAATTTTGCCAGGAGGAGTCTATAACTTTAGGGAGTTGAGTATGAATACCGACAATGGTACAAGAATATCCGATTGCCTCTCGGGGGATCAGGAAGGATTTTTTTTCCCTGCAGGAGCAAATTGGATCATGCTTTGCTGGGGTTTTTTTCCTTCCTCTGGATTAACTGTGGGTGTAGGATTATAACTTTTTTTTGTTTTTTTAATGGATGAACTGGATGGACTTTTGTCTTTTTTCAGCCAGACTAACTATGAAAATACTTAGATAATAACACAACACTCTCTACAAATTCCATCCAACAATTCTTCCATTCAGCAAAACTAAAATTCCCAGTGAATGATGTGAAAACAATACTCCAGTTCCAACCGAGGCACTAATCAGTTCTTTCCAAATAAACTCACAAGGTGTTTTCACTCCCTGTATACACTGACCTAAATCTATTTACCATTTATACCATAAGTAGGCCAAAAACCACTTGTTCAAAACCCTTGTGAGCACTTTGGTAAGAAGTGATTAATACTTTGGTTGGAATCAGAATATTTGTTTTCAGATCGTTCACTAGACTTTACACGTGTATGGTTTAATCTGGCATGTATTTTACACTTATTATGGACTAATTTATGGAGTTTTATGGGGGTTTTTGTAGTATCCGTTTTATTACTTTCCCCACCACCTAGTTCACCTGCTAGACTGAAGAGGAAAGAACCTGTGTAAGCTCCAGGACAGTTTGGTCAGAGCTTACACAGAGACAAAGATTCTTTTCCCACCCCTGCTTTGCAGTGCTTAGGCCTGATGATTGGTCGCTCTAAAAAGGTTTTGCGAACCGCAATCGGGCTCAGGGTAGGATTTCTGCTGCTGTTCCTAATTTTTAGAGAAATGAAGTGCACGTGCAGGCCAGACAATAATCACACTGGCAACTGTGCAGTATAACAACGTCCTGCAATGTTTATTGCAGGGTGGTGCTTAACCTCTTATACATAGAAAACAATAGGGTATACGTCACTATTACGTAAATACAGTCACATTCTAAAAGGCACATTTTGCTTTGTTGAAATATGGGAGAAGTGCAGAAACTTGAAGCTTGAGGCCCGTTATCTCTTCACTCCCCCTCACATATCCAAGGCCTAAGTACAAGATCCTCTCAGTGCGAAGGGAGGGGTTGAGAACATCGCTCTGAACAAACAAATTAAGGAGGACTGCAAAGCCCAGCAGACAAAAATATATACACACAACACATGTATTTAGAAATATGAAAAAGTATAAAAGTATAAAAGTAAATATATATATATTTAAAATGTATATTTTAAACAGGAAACAGAATAGGCATTTTACCGAATCCATCACAGCTCTGGCACCCAGAACTAAGGTGGGGGGTGGAAAGGTAAAAGGTTACATGCTCCCTCATACCTGAAAGTATTATGTATATAATTTTGATGTACTGGAACAAATGACGTGGTGGAGGAGGAAACAATAGGTGAGCAGCAGGGATCAGAAATTTAATGAACCTTTTGGTTCACTTTTTCCTTACAGACTCTTTTGTGTTGATGAAATCATTTTTAATTTTCTTTCTGTAATAATTTTCAGTCTAATAACACATTTTGATTCAAATATCACAATAGTTATGTGGTGTGATTAGAGAAAAGAGAAACAAAGGTGGTATTAACATTTATATATGCCTGGAAACACATAATTTCTAAATGCATCTGTGAAACATCACAAGGCATCTTGAATTATATGACCTGTTATTAACCGCTTCCCATATGCCCTATAGCAAAAGTACTGCTATAGGGTACACGGGTGCGCAAAATCACACATATATATATATATATATATATATATATATATATATATATATATATATATATATATATATACATATATACACACACACACACACATGATTTTGCATTTCCAGGTAGGGGACGCACGCCGCCATTCAAGGCCGTGGCTGTCAATCACTGGGTCCCGGCTGGTGATTACTCGCTGGCACCTGGTGATTGCTGAGCATCTCCGATGGGGGGAGAACTGTTTGTAAACAAAACAGTTCTCTCCCCTGTCAGCTCCAGCACACTGCTTTGCATGGCTGTGCATAGCACAGCCATGCGAAGCAGTGTGCTTACAGTGAAGCACAAACACAGCCACACAGTGTTAAACAACACACAGTTAACCCTTTGACCGCCCCATATGTTAACCCCTTCCTGGCCAGTGCCATTAGTAGTGTCAGTGCTTTTTATTAGCACTGATCACTGTATTGTGTTACTGGGGATGTCAGTGACACCAAGTCAGTTCCCTCCAGTGTCAGAATACCCGCCGCAGTCCCGCTATAAGTCACTGATCGCCGCCATTACTAGTAAAGATTAAAAAAAAATCCCAGTATATATACCGCCATTTGTAAACGCTATAAATGTCAGGAAAACCAATTAATTTACAGTACACGTATTGGTATTTTTTTTAGCAAAGACATGTAGCAGAATACATTTTGGCCTAAATTTTTGACGAAATTAGATTTTTAAAATTTTTTTTACTGGACATGTTTTATAGCAAAAAGTCAAAAACATAGTTTTTTTCTCAAAATTGGCAGTCTTTTTTTTTTACAGCACAAAAAATTAAAAAACACACAGGCAATCAAATACCACCGAAAGAAAGCTCTATTTGTAGTAAATTAAATTAAATTTTATTTGGGTACAGTGTTGCATGAGCGCACAATTGTCAGTTACAGTAACGCAGCTCCATAATGCAAAAAATGGTCTGGTCAGGACAAGTGTTTAAAATGTTCGAAAATGTATTTTTCCCTAACATAGTAATAATAATGATTTTTATTATAGATCTGTCCAGCTCTCAGACACGCAGGGTTGGTCTTACTCAATTCTCTACTTAATACTATACCTGGTAAGTCTGTTTCTATTTATTCATTTTGGCAACACTGTTATCTATGTATTCTCTACAGTCTCTATGGTCACACCCTCTGCCATGCCCCCTTAAAGGGGGGCAAAAAATATTAGTTAAATGCACAAGTGTTTTTTTCTATCACTACTATTCCTTTATACTGGCTTTTGAAATTTACAAATGCAGCCATTTAGAATTTGGTGAAAGGTTTAGCACTGTAAAACACTTTTTGAAGAATAGTGCATTTTATGTACAACTATATAGATCCGACCAAAATGAGGAACAAATGAGGAGGAAAGAGGGACAGAGGGACTTCACTCCGAATCAGGGATAGTCATTCAAAATCAGAGACAGTTGGGAGCTATGTATAATAGATTAACTGTACCCACAATATTCATCAAACAATTCTTCCCCGGCTGAGCCAATGATGAGGCAAGGATTTGCTTTGTTTGAACATTGCTGAATTATTTCTCGAATTATTGCTCGAAAGAGCAGGGCCCTCGATCCCCTCATGTTTTGCATTATATTGTATTGTTATTGTTCTGTCCCCCATTGTAATGTACAGCGCTGAGCGAACTATTGGCGCTTTATAAATACTGTATAATAATAATTTCAAGGGTTAACAGATTTCAACAATCCATCAATTAGTAATTCTTCTTCTATGAGCACACTGGTCATAGCTAAATAGGTCTTAGGCCTCCTCTGGTCCCCAGGGCTTCCCCCAGGCTCAGGGGGCACCATCCTGAAGAAACAGCCTCCTCCTATGCTGCCGACATCCCATGATAAGACGCAGATTGACTCTTCCCATCCCTATAATAGGCAGAGGGGGCCTCTAAAGAGATTATATTTAGATGAATATATTAAATGTAATCCCTGCCTACATATATAATACTGGTTTTGCTGACTTTAACTAATGTGAAACATTACATATAATTTTAACTACTTCCCTACCTGGCCAATTTTGACATTTCTCTCCTACATGTAAAAATCATTTTTTTTTTTGCTAGAAAATTTCTTTTATATTTTTTGTTTTAGCAGAGGCCCTAGAGAATAAAATGGTAGGTTAAGCAATTTTTTTTATATCATATGGTATTTGCACAGCAGTTTTTAAAATGCAAATTTTGGGGGGAAAAATGCACAGGAGAGCCTGGGAAGGGGACCAGAGAATGGCGGGGGGCCACTCTCTGGTGCCTTCCCTGGCACCTCTCCTGCCACTTGTAAAAGCAATCCAGTGGCTAGGATTGCTTTTACTTTACAGAGGATCGCTGGCTTAAAAAAAGATACTGGGATAATGCCTGTGGCTGGAGGCATCATCCAAATATCTCCGCTTCAAGTCCAGGACATCATATGACATCCTGCAAGCTGATAGCCAAGCAATGAGAATTTCTTGGTTATCATCTCTTATCATTAGACAGAACCTGTGAAGTCATCAAAATTATTAGCTTGTAGCAGTAATTCTGCATCGTAACATCCTGAAAGAAAAGTTATCCGGTAAACATTTCAAGTTTGAGATTAAGAAGTCTGGCACTTCCTTCTATAACAGATGCTGTTTCCCTGATGCTATAAATAATAAGATGGTCAACAGTTATTCTGTCTGGTAACAAAGCAGACATCAGAATGAATGACTTTTTTCTATTTTACAGTATATTATATTCTGAAAAGCCTACATGCTTGTTCAGGGTAGTTTTACTTATTTGTGTAGGTGTCAGGGATCCAGGTATGACCAGAGATGTGTGGACTGACACAGGGAAACAGCAGGCTTCAGAAATGATTAAATAATAATAATATTTATTATGAGCTGCACAAAATAAACAAACACAGTGCAAAACAAAACAAACCTTAAACTAATAGGTACAGGTGCAGTCAGGGCTGGAGAGGTGGAGTGGTCAGGCAGGTCGGGTCAGGAACAATCAGGCAGAAAGGTACAACGGGAGCAGGCAGAAGAATGGTCAGGAATAGCCAGGGTCAGTGCAGGCAGAGTTCTATCAGAGTCAGAGTCAAGCAGGAGAGTCGAGCAGGCAGGAGACAGGACACAGGAAACAGGGCACATGGGAAACAAACACCAAGGCACTGACTGCAGGTCTGGCCATTCCTTAAATACACCTCCTGCAATCAGCCTCAGGTGATGGCTGATTGCAGGAGTGAGCTTCTGGTTGCTGAGAGCACCCGCTGGCCAGCCCTGGTACTGCAGCCCACAAGGCAGGTGAGTCCCACCACCATTGGCGAGTCCATTCCTGACAGTAGGTCATGAAATATCAGTTCCTGATAAGGATGATAAGGATGCCTGTTACTCCACATACTTTTGTTCAGCTTAATTGAAAAAGTGGTCAGAGAGAAAAAATGTTTTGATGCCATTTATGTATTCGATGATAAAGTGAACCTTGTAGTACAATGCACTGCGTATACATCTAACCCCCCTCTCTCAAACCCACTTGCTGATAGTAGGTCCGAAAGTTACCTGTAAAAAAAAGTTTGATTTTTAAAAGTGACCTTACCCTTGGATTCTGTCCATGGCTCGTAGGCGAGGGTGGAGTGTCTCGCAAGACTTTGCTTGATCTGCAGGAATCTTCCTAGAAGGATGGTAATGTCACACCCAGCTATAGTGGGAGACAGGGGTAAGGTAAGTATAAAATCTAACTTTTTTTGCAGGTAACTTTTAGCCCCGGTTCACATATATGTGGCTGTGCGAGCCTCGTTTTGCGTGGGCACGAGAGCCCATTCATTTGAATGGACTCCCGTGCCCCATGACACGCAGGGAAAAAGTACTTTCACTTCTTCTAAAAACGCAGCCCACACGGGAACCTCGGTTCCCAGTATGGTTGCGTTTTCCAGTGCGGGCAGTATGCCTTTAGAACTAATGGCACTTGACCACAGGTCCGCATTGCTCTGTGCGGGTGGTGCGGCTGCATGGATTTTTGTGCGGATCCGCAGCGGCACCACCCGCACAGATGTGAACCTAGCCTTAGGCCTTCTAATAGCTGCCAATGTATACAGGGGAGGGGGCTTAGACAGTAAATGTGTACATTGTGTTGCACTGCAAGGTCCAAAAATGTATATAAATGGTCTGTCTCACATATGAAACTAAGGCTAGCCATCCGAAAGATAAACAAACGTAACCAGCACTCCAGTCTTCATACAACCAAGAAGATGCCAAAATGCCAACCGAAGAGGTGCAGCCCTTCTAAGATCGGGAAATCTGAGCACTAATGAGAAAGAACAGAACTGACGCGTTTCGGGAGCTAAATCCCCTTCCTCAGAGCTCTGAGGAAGGGGGCTTAGCTCCCGAAACACATCAGCTCATACACATTATTAGACACAGATGTACTGTGACTGTGTTTGTGGACCACATATACTGCTTTTAATCATGCTGGTTTGTGAGTATATATCTTCTTTTTTCAATAAATACGTGTTTTACCACGGTATTGCACGATGAGAGTGTGCCCTTGTCTGTTCTTTCTCATTAAGGCTAGCCATATCCACATAGACTTCTCTCAGAGAAATCTATGCACATGTCACCAAAGAAATCACTTGATTTCCACATCCACTCTGAGTTCCTCATACACACTGGACATTTTTGCAGCGGCTGTTTTTGGCTTTTGACGTTTTTTTCTACAGCCAGTAAACTCCCCAGCATGTTATCCTATGTGTTCATACACACATAGACTGTAACAGGGGCGGACTGACAACTCATGGGGCCTACGGGCAATAGGGGATCAAGGGGCCCCTGTGTCCTTGCCCAAACTCAAAAAAGCCTATGAAAAAGGTACCAGGGGCATCTCATGGGGCCCCCTACTGACCCCGGGTCCTCGGGCAGTGCCCGAGTTTCTAAATGGTCAGTCCGCCCCTGGACTGTAATCAACTTTTTTTGGCTGGAAAAAACCCCCAGAACTAGTGCATTTCTAGAGGAGTTTTTAGCTGCAAAAACCCTCTGATGCTGAAAAACGCAATAAATCATGGAAAACCAGCACTATTGGACTTTTTGTTGACTAAAAAAAATGGGGGGGTAAAAAAAACCTAAAAAATGCAAATACAAAAAACGCGGCAAAACGCTGCTAAATGCTAATACAAAAAACGCTGAAAAACTCATGTTTTTACCGTGACTTTACACAGCTAACGTTACCAGCATTATTAAAACGCCCCGTGTGCATGGAGCCTAAGCAGCGTAAGTTGAGTAAATGACACCACCTGTTGTATTCGGACAGATACAGCACAAGCAGTGTGACGGATTGCCTGACACCCCGACTGGGTATGTCCATCAAATGACAGCTTCCTGAACTCTAGAACCAGAATATAGCAAATTTACCAAAAGCATCAGACAGAACCGATGTTGGAGTAAAACAAGGACTGATTTTATTAACAAAATGCACAGCATTTATACACAAAAACCTTCCCCCTAGACAGGTATGGCATGCATAACTCCTAGGAGAAAATTTACATTACATAAACAAAAAAACAATCAAACACAAGAAAACAATGGATTCCTTCCTGGCACCTAGGAGTCTGGACTCTGAAGGTGATTAAACAAAGTGAGAGCTCATCATCTAAACCTAATTACAGCAAACAATAGTTGATGCCAGGAACCATATGACAGAAAATAAAGTTTCTTAACCCCACATATGCTGGAATTTACCCCCTGTACATGACACATCGCTCTAGGATAATAGTTCCAATATGTATCGTATGCCAAGGGGTCCCAGAAAAAGTCCTTCTAGCCCTACTTGCGTGGAAAGGGTAGCTGGTATAATTCATGGCCAGCCAGGTACCCAGGGAAGTGATATAATTCTTTTGAAAAAAAGGTTCCTTGTAACCCCAAGAGGGGGGTCTTCTTAGTCCCGGGTCCATAGTCAGTGGGAAGGAGGCTGGCCCCCAGGCCCCTCCAGGAGCCCAAGTCACAGTGGTTTCTATGACAAGCAGCTCTTTGAAAACCCAAACAGTGATTGCATCTGATTGTATATAGTTGATGTTCAGGCAACAATTTTCTATGCAGATCCTTCAATTTTTTTGAAGTTTGTTGAGCAGGCTGGTGCCGATGGAGCCACCCATGGCTCAAATGTTATCCAAATAAGCAGGAATCAGACAAAATTTGGGCCATATATGGCAAGCCTCAGGGGCCTATTTATTTTTATTATTATACAGTATTTATATAGCGCCAAAAAGTTTGCTCAGTGCTGTACATTATAGTGGGAGACAATACATGAGACAATACAGTAACAATACAATACACGAGGGGTTCAAGGGCCCTGCTCCTTGGAGCTTACTATCTAGGAGGGAGGGGATAGTGGTACAGGAGGAAATGACTGTGGGGGATGGAGTGGTAGGAGGAGTGGAGGCGATCGGCAATTACGCGAGGGCGGGGTAGGCTTCCCTGAAGAGATGGGTTTTCAGGATGTGCTTAAAGGTGAGGAGGGTAGGTGACAGTCTGATGGATTGGGGTAGTGAGTTCCAGAGGATGGGGGAAGTCCTGGAGAAGTCCTGGAGTCGGGCATGGGAGGAGGAGACCAGGGAGCTAGACAGTAGGAGGTCTTGTGAGGAGCGAAGAGTATGTGTAGGGTGGTATTTGGATATCAGGTCAGTGAGGTAGTTTTGGGGCAGTATTATGAACAGCTTTGTACGTCAATGTTAGAAGTTTGAATTTAATGCGTTGGACAATCGGGAGCCAGTGGAGTGAATGACAGAGGGGGGTGGTGGATACGGAGTGGTTGGTAAGGTGGATAAGTCTGGCCGCAGAATTCAGGATAGACTGAAGCGGGGAGAGTCTGTGAGGAGGGAGATGCCTTCCCACCAGATTCAAAGTTTCAGTCAGAATGCACATATTTTTCCAATTTAATCAGTTTAGAAATTGTGTGGTTGTGTGAATATTGTGTGAAAACATTCATAAATAGACACAAAACTTTTTTTTTTGGATAGATGGGGAAAAGTTAGACCTTTGTTGTCTGTGTCTAAGCTGGGGAGAGTCACCATTTTATTTGTCATAGTGACCAATGTCACCAAAATAGAAACTAAAAGGAAATCCAAAATTGTAAGGCATTCACACTGATCTGTTCATCTTCCGCTTTTGTATTAAAAAAAAAGCAGAAGAAAAATGTGTGACCTTGTATTCCTATGGAACTCTTCACACTGATCCACTGCTGGTCCTGTGCAGTTTTTAAAATTCTGCTTGTTGCATTTTTGGGGAAAAAAATGCACAAAAAAAATGCACAACCCCATTGAATGGAAAATGCAGCAAAAACGCATCAAAAATGAGTCACATATCCTGTAAAAAATATTTGTAACAATCGTGGTAAAAACACATATGCATTTTGTACGTGTTTGTGCTACAGATCAGTGTGAAAGAAACCTAAGAGTTGTCACCAGAGCAAGAATCATCCAGTGGGAACATATGTTCCAGCGATAACTGTCTAAAACTGTAAATACCCTCACTTCCAGAGGCTCCTTCTGTGTGCAGAAGTCCCCCCAGCCCCCCTAATACTTACCTGAGCCCTATTTTGATCCAGCAATTTGCACGAGAACCTCGACTGTCCTGGCTCTCTGCCATTGGCTCCCGCTGCTGTCAATCACAGCCAGTGAGCCAATGAGGAGCCAGAGGGAATGGGGTTGAGCTGTGACTCTGTGTGTGAATGTATACACAGAGCAGCGGCACAGGGGCGCACCTGCTCGGGTGCCCCCATAGCAAGCTGCTTGCTATGGGGGCACCCAACAGGAAGATGGAGCCAGGAGCTGCGGCAGGAGACCCGAGAAAAGGATGATCGGGCTGCTTTGTGCAAAACCACTGCACAGAGCAGATAAGTATAACATGTTTGTTATATAAAAATAACTTTAGTATTGCTTTAAGTGTCCAGAGCAGGGAATAAAGTGAAATCTTTCATTCTGGACAGACAGAAAAAATAACCTGATAGGGATTTTAACCTCAGTTTCAATCTCTTTCGAACCACCATCATAAATACAATCGCAAGTAATTGCATGACAAAAAGAAATCTACGGCCCAAATATTCAATCAACCACCAGAATTTGGTCAGTTGTGAAGTCAGAATTGGGGTGGTATTGATCAAATGCACCTTTCAATGCAAGCAAACTGAAAAATTGAAAAACAGAATTGAGACCAAAAAAATGGCAAAAATATTGTAAGCAATCAACTTTTTCAGCCACATTGAGTCAGGGTAGTTTTGACTCCATCTTGCATTCCATGGTGCATAACCACCATTTTAAATCTTTGATTGCTTTGTAATTTCAGAAAGAATGGGATCAATAGTTTGATTGTTCAATCAAATTGATGGGTATATGGCCAGCTTCAGAATTGTTTTCTGATATCAGACAATTTGTCTCTCTGAATTCTTGGCATACAGATAAGAAAGGTTGCCAAAGACTACAGTGTCACTCCCAGCACAAAGACCACGGTGTCACTGAGAGCACTGGGTCCCGTTCTAATGATTGGGACCTGGGACTCCCGATTCCGGGTCACATGATCGCTGTGATAGCCTCTGATTGGCTATCACAGTGATCAGATACTGTACAGCCCAGCCCCCTTGTTTTTATCTCTCTATGAATGGAGGAGAGAGTTACATTGTATCTCTCTAAAGCAGGCCATAGACGTGGGGAAAATCGTCCGTTTTTTTTTTTTTTAAATCGTAAATCAGTCGTTCAGACGGCCGACGTTGTTACTAATTAAAAAAAAAAGTCGGCGGGCTTAGTCCTGTCTATGGCCGTCAATTAATATAATAGCGGTGCCCTGCATAGAGACTTGCTATTATTATATTTGACAGAAGAAATAGATTATGCAGAAGAAGAAGAGAAACAACATTGTATCTATTTGTACTCGAATAGAAACATCTGTATCCGAAATGCATACAAATAGATACAATGTTGCAACTTTTTTTCTTCTCGGTCTTCTGCAAAATCTATTTCATCTTCTCCTCTTTTCTTCTATTCTTCTTGATATTCTATTTCTTCTTCTCCTCTTTTTTTCTATTCTTGATATTCTATTTCTTCTTCTCCTGCAAAATTTATTTCTTCTATTATTCTTTTTCTTCATAGTCAATTTATTGTCAAATCGGCCAGAAGATCAGCCGATTTGACCGATCGGCTGATCTAACAAATCTTCCCAGGATTTTCCAGCTTGGACGATTTTCAAAATCTCTTAAAATTAAGAAAAACGGCTGACATTTTTCCCCACTAACGGTACGAATATCGGACGATTGTTTTATCGGCCGATAATTCGGCAAGAAAATCAGAAATCTATGGCCGCCTTAACTCCTGGCACAGAGAGAAAAAAAAATTTGTAAAAAAAAAAGAAGATAAGTAAATAAAGACATATTCAAAAATAAAGAAAAAATACCTAGATCAAGGTTTGATCTAGTTCAGTGCCAGGGTTAGTGTTTGGGTCAAGATCAGGGTCAAAGCGCAAGATCAAAAGGGCAGGGTCAAAGGTCAGGATTTAAAAAAAAATGTGGTATCAGTGTCAGTTAGTGTCAATGTCAGTGTGTTTTAGGTAAAAAAAAGAAAAAAACAAAATGCGCACTATTGTTTCTGGGCTGTACTATGTGTACAAACAACAAATAACATACACATATATGATATCGCTGTAATCGTCAAGAGCTGGAGAATATATTTTGAGTTGTTCTTTGGTGGTAGGTTATGGTAGTAACAAGAGACACACAGCAAAATTTGAAAAAAAATATTTTTGTTTTATTATTTTGGGCCGGTTTTCCTTTGATAATAAAAAGAAATCAGGACATATCCATTACCATTTACCATCAAATGAAAGTCCAATTTGTGCTGAAAAAAACATATAATTCACCTGGATGGACAAAGTAGTTGTGATGATATGTACGGTTTTACTAACACATGTCAATGTTTCAAAATTGTGCTTATGCATTTAGATTTGTTTTACCCTTAGGCATGAAGGGGTTAAGCACTAGAGTTGGGGTCTGGGGAGGGATTCATACCCACTTGGGTCCACAATGTAATGGATGTGGCGGACTTTATATGTGTATAGGCACACTGAGTTCCTTAGCTAATAATAATGATTCTCTCCATCATTCCAGTGAAGAATCCAGTAGACGACTACATAGGTATAGACTACTCTCTGCTGAGTCACCCCCTTGTATCTGAAAACAGTCTGGATATGGATTTCAGGGTAAGTGAAGCCTCTAATCTGCACCAGGATATTTTCACAAAATGTTATGTCAAGGTCAGTCGGTGTGCTGTAGCCTAAACAGGGAAAGATATAGACTACACTTATCAAAATGGAATGTATTTAATTAATTTAGCGATGTTCCCATCAGAAAAATTTCACTGTAACAAAAACTCTTGTTTTCACTTATTGAGCTTCTTAGGTTAAATTTGCATGAAAAAATTTTTTTTTGTTCTCTTTATTTAGGGGATGTGTTTTTATGTATTCAATTGTAATGATAGTTTTATATGGTTGTATTTGTGTCGCTTGTCCTTTTTTGTGTGTGTTTTTTGTGGGCTGTTGGTTTAGGATCTCTTTCACACTGTCAGCCAAGAGGAGGTAAAAACAGATGGCTGAGGCATGATTTTACCTCCCCCCGTCTGTCCAACTAAAGTAAAAGTACAGCCGGAGAGGGCTGTTCACATGGCCTATCCCTATTGCTCTGCGTCGTGGCTGGGACAAATTTAGCATGGCATGTTCAGTTGTCAGACAGCACTGCCTGTTAAATTTGCCTATTGAAACCAATTAAGCCATGCTGCAATTTCCAGTGGGACCAGGGGCGGACTGACCATTTGGATACTCGGGCACTGCCCGAGGGCCCGGGGTCAGTAGGGGGCCCTATGAGATGCCCCTGGTACCTTTTTCATAGGCTTTTTTGAATTTGGGCAAGGACACAGGGGCCCCATGATCCCCTGTTGCCCGGGGGCCCCATGAGTTGTCAGTCCGCCCCTGAGTGGGACTAATCCACAATGGCGAGCCAAGCGATTGGCTTGCCGTTATGGCACATTAGTCACATTGCAAGTTGCTGTTTAGCAAAAAAAAATGCATTCAGAAGGCAGCAGGAGTGTCTTCTGAAGGGCTAAGGCTACGTTCACACTAACCTTGTTAGCAAGCGGCAGACAGGCATTTGGGAAGCGTTTTTACCGTTTCCCAAACGCCTGGGAAAATTCTGCACATTGCAGCATATGGTGCTGTTCAAACGGGAGTGGCAGCGTCTCGTCGCAGCAAAACGGACACCTCTGGTCGAGTCAGGAGGAGTTGAAGCCTCCTATTCAAGTCTATGGTGTCGCTCCGCAAACGCCCGGCCGGCGTTTGCGGTGCAGTTGCGGGGCATTTGCGGAGCGTTAACACCATTCAAACTTCATTATAGGCGTTTGTGGGGCATTTTTAATGCTTGGCAAATGCCTAGCAACTACCGCTAAACCGTGCATGTGGCGTTTGGGGAGCGTTTGCGGAGCATTAAAAATGCTCTGCAAACGCCAGACCAACGCTTGTCAAATGCTATAGGGGCGTTTGGCAAGAGTTCGAAAAACAGTCAAGTGTGAACGAGCCCTGACAGTGGTTTTTTAGCTGCACTAAAATATGATACACTGCAGATCACTTTTCAGAGCATGGGCTAGTGTGAATCTAACCAAAATGTGTTATTTGACTTATTTTTCACTATTTATCTTTCTCTGAAAAAGTAAAATAATGAGGGTAAGGAAGCCTGTTTTTGGCAAAAACAGGTACAGGATAGTAGAAGGCTAGCTTCACATCTGTGCATTGCAGAACATGCGGTAAAATGCATGGTACTGTATGATGTGTCGTTTTAGTTCATGAAGTTACATTTTTTTCTTCATTTAGGGCCAATTCACATCATAGAAAAGCAGTCTGGATGTGTTTCTGTATGTGTTTTTTTTTTATGCATTTTTATGCGTTCTGGTTAATTTTTTCTACTTGCTTAATGTTCAGCTTAGGGCCAGTTCACACCATAGAAATGCAGTCCAAATGCGTTTCTGTATGCACATTTTTTACATGTTCCAGTGCGTTTTTGATGCGTTTCAGTTAATTTTTTTTCTTCAACTTGATAAGGACTTGTGCATTCTGTTGCATTTTTTATGCATTTTACTGCATTCCAGTACAGTTCAGTGCAGAGAAAGTGCAGCCTGTTCTTTTTTTTCTGGAACTGGAACACAATGTAACTGACCGTACTGGTATGACCTATGCCAGTGGTGGGCAACCTTTTTTTTCAACTGAGCCAAATCTCGCCAAAACCACGATTGAAATTTATTTTGAGAGCCACATTTTTAAAACTGAAAATACATCCCCCATATAGTAATTCATCCCCCATATAGTAATTCATCCCCCTTAGTAATTCATCCCCCATAGTAATTCATCCCCCATATAGTAATTCATCCCCCATAGTAATTCATCCCCCATATAGTAATTCATCCCCCATAGTAATTCATCCCCCATATAGTAATTCATCCCCCATATTAATTCATCCCCCATATAGTAATTCATCCCCCATAGTAATTCATCCCCCATAGTAATTCATCCCCCATAGTAATTCATCCCCCATATAGTAATTCATCCCCCATAGTAATTCATCCCCCATAGTAATTCATCCCCCATATAGTAATTCATCCCCCATAGTAATTAATCCCCCATATTGTAATTCATCCCCCATAGTAATTCATCCCCCATATAGTAATTCATCCCCCCTATAGTAATTCATCCCCCCTATAGTAATTCATTCCCCATATTGTGTCAATTCACTTACCTTTGCTCCGCGCGTTCCTCTCGCCGTGTTCCCGCGCTGTTCCGGTCTTCAGGGCGGACTGTGAGAGGAGAGGAGTTCGTCACGCTGCCCCGCCTACATCCTGGCTGCCCCGCCTACATCCTGACAGCCAATGTTTGCCACGCTCCACGGGCCGGATTAAAAGGTCCGCCGGGCCGTAGTTTGCCCATTGCTGGGCTAGCTGCAGAGTCCTGACTTTTGGGGCGGCCGCCCGAGAGGAGGGAGGGGAGCGGGCGCCCGGCACACAGAAGAGCCGCATTAAAGTTTGTAAAGAGCCGCATGTGGCTCGCGAGCCGCGGCTTGCCGACCACTGACCTATGCCATTGGAAACCATGTGACCTACTATCAATGCATTTTTGGTGCAGAAAAAAAATGCACTGGACTGCATGTGGTGTGAACTGGCCCTCAAAAAAGCTCTATATCTCAGTTTGCTACCCAGGATGGAGGTGCAGGGGTCACAAACTAAAACTGTATCATATGCTTTGCTAAATGAAAAGCTTGCTCATTTGTTTCTAATGAAGTCACTACTTTGGAAAATGTCCCCGTATTTAAATTTTAATTTCTACATGCTAATGATACTTTTATTTGTTATTTTTAGGGCATGTTTTATTCCCTGACTGCAGAGAACGACACAATTCCTAACACATCTCCAGCCCTGCACATAAAACAGAAGGAACGCATGGTATATATTGCTCTGTCTGAGTATTTCTTTGACTCTGCGATGTATGCATACTATCGATCGGGTGTGCTCAGCCTGGAAATCGCTAATGAACAGGTGAGTCTATTCACGCATTATGATTTCAGGAAGGAAAGTGTATTTCACAAATAGCTTCTATCACCACCTACTGGGCATTCTTTGCACACTGAGGTGTTCGTTTGTGAACCAGCGGTAATAGATCGCTGCTCAGTTCTCCGGCATTCTCGGAGAACACAGTTCTCCTGTGAATGCAGTTTATGAAGCAGTTCTCCGAACGAAGGGAGAACGGTCTCCAAACGCTGGAGAACGGTCTACAAACTCTGGAAAACGGCTGATTTTACTATAATCTCGTGGGATTACAGTAAAAGATCAGTTTACTAAAAAGAGGTAAATTATCTCTGCTTAGTTTTCGGTCCCTCTGATTCTCCAGCTCTGGGCTGGAGAATCTGGAGGGAGAACACAGATCTCCAGAGAAGGGCTGACATGATCTCCTGAGTGTTATAAACTGTGAATGACCAGAGAATAGCTGATATCCGTTGAATCGCAGCTATTCTCTGTGTCATAAACGGACACCTGAGCACATGACAAGCATCTTTCTCTAGAAAGCGGCAATCGCATGTCTGTTGCTCAAGAGACATTTTAGTATCCCTGCAACCATTGTGCCAGCCTCATCCAGTTTGATATAGTCTTTTATCTACTTTTTTTCAGCAACCAAACATACTGAAACTGCAAGCACTGATGGGAACTATGACATTGACAACCATATAACCTACGGTACTTGCTGTGGGTTTTGGATGCAGAAAAAAGCAACTGAAATACATGTAATGTGAACTGGGAAGTTGTTTTTTTCTGTATCCAAACCGCACAGAAAGTGGGTTATAGTGCATTCTGGGCATTTGGGAGGGTCTCCTGACGTTATCTTTTAAAACCGCTTCTAAACGCAAATGCACATAAACGCGGTAGGTAAACGCGGCTAAAACTGACGTTTTTAACTTACGTTTTCTAGCAGTCAGTTTCCAGCAGTCAGAAGAGTTTTTCAAACGCCCTGTGTACATGAGCCCTTAAAGCTCATACAGCTTGTTAACCACCTCTCGTCCGGCTGTTGTATATAAATGGCTGGATGGTGGCAGTGCAGGGTCAGGTGGCCGTTTATAAACGGCCTCCCCGCCCCCTGCTTGTGCGCGCTCCCTGGGACAGACACAGTGGAATACCGATCGTCGTACGTACGGGACCTCTCTGCGAGGTCCCGATCATGTGATCACTGATTGGCCAATCAGTGATCACATGCAGAGTAGTAAGCAATATGTCACTTCCTGACATAATTTCTTACTACGTGTGAAATCTGTGAATGATCACAGAGGTCACATGGTACAAGGCTATTCACAACAGCCTTGTACCATGTGACAAGCTGTGACCAATCACAGCTCACACAGTAGTTCTCAATGGCTGCAAGAATGCAGCCAGAGAGAAGGAGAAATTTTTGCTTTTACAGCCTTTATGGGTTTAAAAGCAATCAGTGTAAAAAAAAAAAAAAAATCTTCATCACCTCCACAAGTAGTACAGTGTCACCATGGTGACACTGTACTGCTAGGGTGACAGTATGTAAAAAAAAAAATAAAAATGTAAAAAAAAATGTTTAAAAATTATAACTTTTGGTTATAAACTAATTTGGGTTATTTTTTTTTTTTTACTAAAAAGATAACGGAATAAATTTTGGCCAAGATTTATGATGAAATATTATTTATTTGCAAAATGTTATAAGAAAAACACTTTTTTTTTCAAAATTTTTGGACTTTTTCATTTACATAGCAAAACAAATAAAAATCCCAGTGGTGAATAAATACCACTAAAATTTATGATGAAATATTATTTATTTGCAAAATTTTATAAGAAAAACACTATTTTTCTAAATGTTTGGACTTTTTAATTTACATAGCAAAAAAAATAAAAATCCCAGTGGTGAATAAATACCACTAAAATAAATCTTTATCTGTCTCAAAAAAATGCTGAAAAATTCATATGGGTACAGTGTTGCATGAACGCGCAATTGTCATTCAAAGTGTGATAGGGCTGAAAGCTGAAAAGTGGCCTGGACAGGAAGGGGGTAAAAGTGTCCGGACTGGAAGTGGTTAAGAATGTGTAAATACTTGAATGTCTATATTCTGGCCACATGTTTTCTTCGGAAGTAATTCAGCCAAATGAAACCAACATGTTGAAGTGTTTTCAACACACCACCATGAATACAAATGGATAACCTAGTATTTCCGTTCATTTTAGTCCAGTATTAAATGTTTATTTGTGAAAGCAAAATCAGATGTACAGTTTCACTAAACAGCATCCTTGTTTGAGCCTGGGTTCACACTTCTGCGGTGCAGAACATTGCACGGGATTCGCACAGAAATTTCACCGCATTCCTGTTGAAATCACTTGCGTTTTCTGTGTGGTGCAATTTTAGCCATGCATTTTGTATGGCTAAAATTGCACCGCATCCGCATCAGAAAGGTGCAGGACTCTTTTTTTTGTCCGCACTAGAATCGGATTGTATGGGTATTCACACCTATGCGATCCAATTCTGCACATCACACAGCGTTTTGCTAACTGATTTCAGGGTATTTTTAACTTAACATACACACCTGCAGCGGTTTGCATGAATGGGATGCGATTATGATGTGCTGCGGAATTCGCACAGAAACCGTTGCAAATTCCGCACCACATCAGTGTGAACCCAGGCTGAAGCAGAATTATAAGCTTTTCACAATTTTATTTCTCTGTTTACTCATTGTGATATAGGTGGTTGTTCTTTTTTTATAAAGTTATTTGTGGTATATGTGTTTGCCTCTTTAGGTGCCCAAAGACTTGGAAGTTTTGCTGAGAACATCATACTTTGGAAGTCTCATGCTATTGGTAAGGGTTGTACCTTATTCAAGGGTGTATCTGCCACAAGGAAAACAAAGCGTTTGCCTTGGGCGGCATTTTTTTTTAGGGAGGCAGCACCACCCCCCAGGCAGAAGGGAGGAGTTGGTCGCTACAGGGGGTCAATTGCCCCCCTGGGTTATTTCATGCCCCCCTACCAGAGGCGGACTGTATAGGGCAGGTGGTCTCGGCTGTGCTTTGGTGGGGGGCTGTGCTCAGGCGGGGGGGGGCAGACCCACATTTTCCTGCCACAGCTAAAGGGCATAGAAACCCACCAAGGGGGAAGGGGGGGCCAGTCCTTCCCTCTGTATGCCAACTAGGAGGATGCTGGAAATGGGGCACTCAGACTGGAAGTGACATCGTCTGATACAGGAAGAGAGGTGAAACATCTTGGCCATATGCATTCCAAGAAGGATCGCAGCTGGAAGTGCAAATCTGGATCCATAAACCCAGCACTCCAAGAAAACTGGACATGCTCCCTGGTTGCCCCACACATAGGGACACAGGTTGGGAGGACAAACTGACACCCATTTGTTTCCATCACACAGAAACCAATAATAATCCAGTTAGAGCAAACACAAAAATAAAACAAAAGCAAAAATAAAATGACCAAAAACATCAAACCAAAAGAGAGCCAAAAATACAACAAAAAACAACCAAAACCAAAGCAACCCAAAAACAATGTCACCTCACCACCACTATCGGCTTACAATCTATGAATATGCTATGTATTCTATACTATGATGGCTATAGTTCGAAAACAATCCACCTAATTTAATATCAAAGGAAAACACAAACAGTTGCATGCACTAGCCAAAATGATTCTACATGTTATAGCATCTACCTATTCTATGTCTCTCAGTCTAGAAACGGGGATATTAACATGAACTGTAATAAAAAAAATGTGTAAAAGTGGCATCAGAATCCGCACTGGTTCACAAAGACATAAGCTGCCAGCACTATATTCTGATACAAAGAATAAACAAAACATGCATAGAAAAGTGCAGTGCTAAAAATGTAAATACTATATAGTGTCTTAACTAATATAATAAAAAAGAAAGTAAAAAGGGAAAAGAACACTGCGAAGTGAATAAACAAATTCCAGTGCCAAGGGGCTGAAATTTCATTCCAGCAACTCTAAATAGTACTCAGTAGTTTGTATGGCCCCCATGTGCTTGTATGCATGCTTGACAATGTCGGGGCATGCTCCTAATGAGATGAAGGATGGTGTCCTGGGGTATTTCCTCCCCAGATCTGGACCAGGGCATCACTGAGATGGACAGTCTGAGGTACAACCTGGCGGTGTCGGATGTACCGAAACATAATATCCCAGAGGTGTTCTATTGGATTTAGGTCAGGTGAGCATGGGGACCATTCAATGGTATCAATTCCTTCATCCTCCAGGAACTGCCTGCATACAATCTCCATATGAGGCCAGGCATTGTCGTACACCAGGAGGAACCCATGACCCACTGCACCAGCGTAGGGTCTGACAATGGGTCCAATGATTTCATCCCGATACCCAATGGCAGTCAGGGTGCCATTACCTAGCCTGTAGAGGTCTGTGTGTCCCTCCATGGATATGCCTCTCCAGACCATGACTGACCCACCACCAAAACGGTCATGCTGAATGATGTTACAGGCAGCATAACATTCCTCATGTCTGTCACATGTGCTCAGGGTGAACCTGTTCTCATCTGTGAAAAGAACAGGGCGCCAGTAGCGGACCTGCCAAGTCTGAAGTCTGGTGTTCAAAGGCAAATGCCAATCGAGCTCTATGGTGACAGGCAGTGAGCACAGGGCCCACTAGAAGACATCAGACCCTCAGGCCACCCTCATGAGGTCTGTTTCTGATTGTTTGGTCAGAGACATACACACCAGTGGCCTGCTGGAGGTCATTTTGTAGAGCTCTAGCAGTCCTCATCCTGTTACTCCTTGCTCAAAGGAGCAGATAGCGGTCCTGCTGATGGGTTAAGGACCTTCTACGGCCCTGTCCAGCTCTCCTAGAGTAACTGCCTGTCTCCTGGAATCTCCTCCATGCTCTTGAGACTGTGCTGAGAGACACAACAAACCTTCTGGCAATGGCACTTATTGATGTGCCATCCTGGAGGAGTTGGACTGCCTGTGCAACCTCTGTAGGGTCCAGGTATCACCTCATGCTACCAGTAGTGACACCGACCCTAGCCAAATGCAAAATGAGTGAAAACCAGTCAGAAAAGATGAGTAGGGAAAAAAAATGTCAGTGGCCTCCACCTGTAAAATCATTCCTGTTTTGGGGGTTGTTTCATTGTTGTCCATCTAGTGCACCTGTTGTTAATTTAATTAACACCAAAGCAGCTGAAACTGATTAGCAACCCCCTCTGCTACTTAACTGACCAGATCAATATCCCAGGAGTTTAATTGACTTGATGCTATACTCTGATTAAACAGTTAATTTTTTTTTTTTTGCACTGTATATATATAGATTAAGTGCGGTTTGAACCACATCCAATCCACATGACATGTGAAATAACATTGCTTCCTATGCTGCCTGTTCACGTATGTCCGATGCACTGGCAGTGCGGATTCAGTGCGGTTTGAAAAAGAGTCATGTACGATTTCTGAGCAGTGCCTACAGGTCCAGGTGCAGAATGCAGGCTATTGACTTCTATGGGAACCATTTCTAAAATGCATATGTGTGAACAGGATAAAATCCTGACCTAATCCTGTCCTGAACCTGATGTAAACCTGACATGAACAACTACTGTGTCAATTAGCTGTGAAACCCTGAGCTTCAATCCGCACCGCACGATCTGCTCCACTGAGCTTTTGTGTTTTGACACAGAACACACAGATCAGCGCTCGCAGCCATTGGCCATCAGATGCGGGTTTTCCACTATGCCCGTTCAACAGAAGTCAAGTGTTAGACTGACTTCTGTTGGACAGGCTGCTGTACACAAGGGCCAAACGTCAGCAGGTTTCTGTTGCACAAGCCGATACCGGTCAATATTCGGCACATGTATATCAGCCTTAAGGCACAAATCAAGACATGGCATCTGGTTTAGGAGAGCAGCAAAAGACACTATTTTTGGCTATATCTAATGAATATTGGGGAATCATCTGCAGGACTGCAATTATGTGCTTTTCTGTTCAGTAGATTTTTCTTTTTCTTTTTTTTCCAAAAAGGTATAGAGCAGGAGTGGGTGGTAAGGGGAGGTAGAAGGTTGGGCTGGAAGGAGGGGGTGAGGTTGCTCAGTGGTTAGGGGAAGAATTTGTCATTCCCAAGGGCTCAGGTTGTAGGGTATTTAATCATTTTCACAGGTAGCTGAAGCTTGAGGGAATCAAGAGTGAGGAGTGCATAGAGAAGCCAGGGTTCCCGTGGTTCAAGAAATTGAGGCTGACAGTAATAATGCTAGACAATTTCTCATTAATTAAATCCTATTCATGCATTCTTTCACTTCTTGCAGATTTATTTTATTCTTTTAAATTTTTCTTTTCATCATGCTTATAGGATCCTTCTGTGGCTGAGGCCCCAATGAGGCTAGAATTGAAGGTTTCCACCGCTCCCCGCTTTACCATAAAGCCAACTGGAACAAGTGTCTCGGTCAACGCCATCTTAAACATATATCTGATTCCACCAGACCAGCCCTCTGTGCAGCTGAGCAGCATGACCATGGTATGTGATCAGGGCCATGGATAAGGGGGTACCACCAGTCTTCCTGTACAGGGGGGCAAGGAGGGTGATCGACACAACGGGGGGGGGGGGTGCATTACTGGCACCAATCCCCTGTATGGCTTTCTGCAGTAGCTGAACACTGGCTTCTTCTCCTCTCCCTCCTTCTGGCTTTCATCTGTTGCAGAGAGAGTCATATATGGGATTGATCCCAGTAATTCACCCCCCCCCCCTGCGGCATCCATCACCTTCCCTGTGCACCATATGTTTCTCTTTGCTGCCCAGGGCCTCTGTGTGCCCCCACCCCTAAAGTGCTGCTGGCTTCCCTCCTCTCCTTTCCACTGGCAACTGCAGCCACACAAAAGGTTCCTTCAGGAAAGAGAGTGTGTCACATTTACCAGCCCCTTACTTTCCTGAATGAACGCAATGAGGGATTGGTACCGATCACTCATTGTGTTAATTTACAACTGAAGCATAGTAAACTGTGTTTTTGGGGGGGGGGGGTTTGAGGGGGCCCTGTCAGGTTCACTGTATGGGACTCAGTGGTTTCTAACAGCAGCCCTGTATGTGATAATGCTTTGCCTCAATATTGTATATTAAGGAAAACTCAACATGGATCATAATACATTAATGGCACATGAGACGCATTACATTTTAAAAGCATGTATATTTTTTAATATGTTTTTATTTTTTCTGTTTATAATTTCCATCTGTAGCTAACAGTTGGCAGGCTCCAAGCTAGCTTGCTATCCGTTCACTGCTCTTTCTACTACTTTGATATCAATAGGCCTGAATAGATGCAGTAATTAGATTACATACAGGTGAAACTCAAAAAATTAGAATATCGTGCAAAAGTTCATTTATTTCAGTAATGCAACTTAAAAGGTGAAACTAATATAAAAATTTCATATGGGTACAGTGTTGCATGACCGCGCAATTGTCATTCAAAGTGCGACAGCGCTGAAAGCTGAAAATTGACCTTGGCAGGAAAAGCTAAAAGTGCCCGGTATTGAAGTGGTTAAAAAAATGTAAAACCTATTAAACCTCAGTTTATAAACTTGTAAACTTACATGAATAATGCAATGAATGGAATTGATAACATGATTATAGTGGATATACCTTTCCTCTTATGCAAGCCAATCGATGATTCACTTTTTTTTCCTACAACCACAGGTTGACGGGGGAATCCCATTTGCAGCTAGGGTTGCTACCTCATCCCTTTAAAACTGAACACATATTAATGACACAGGTTCTGTGGCTGATTAAACTGGTAATTAAACTCACTTAGTGCCTTTTGTGCATTGAATTAGCTTCAGAACCTGTGTAATTAATATTTTTTCAGTGTTTATTGCCGGTTCAAACTATGCGGAAACCGCATGTAACTCGCACAGGAATTACACCACGTTGCTGTGCGAATTACATGCAAATGTCTTTGCGGTGTGATTTGAGCCATACACTTTGTATGGCTCAAATTGCATCTGCACCAAAAAGGTGCAGGACTCTTTTTCAACTCTGCACCTGAACCACCCATGCGATGTGATTACTGGCAATCACACTGCGTTTTGCGATCTGTATCGGGGTGTCATTCATTTATTGTTGACACCCACACCAGATCGCAGGAATGTGATGCAAATGCGGTGCGGGAAATGCACAGGATTCGCAGCATTTCCCGCATTGCATTGGTATGAACCCGAGAGCTCAAAGGAATGAGGTGGCAACCCTACCTGCAGCGCTATTATGTTCTTTCAGCAAGGAGCCTTCCCTGTTGGTAGAACACAGTGTTATTGATTTACTAAAACTAAGGGTGCAAAATCTGGTGCAGCTCTACATGGTAGCCAATCAGCTTCTAACATCAGCTTTGTTAAATCAAGCTTTAACAAAAAACCTGGAAGCTGATTGGTTTCTATTCAGAGCTGCACCAAATTTTTGCACTCTCCAGTAAATCAACCCCAATGATTACTGCTAGTGGCTACCGCCGCTGGCAGTAATCACATGCAAAAAATCAAACAGGCTGATTGTACTTAAAGTGGAACTTCATTGTGTCAATCAACATTGACTATTTGTAACCCTTATCCTGCTAGCATTAGTAAATGGATAGGAAAGTATATCATATTTACTTGTTTTACATTTTTTTATGTATATTTTTATTTTTTTTATTTTTATTTATTCCATTACTTCCTGGTTTCCATGCTTAGGCAAATTAAGTCATACATCCCAGGAGTCTTCAGGAGGGGAGGGAGGGTTGCACGAACTAAGGGCAGATGGATTCCAGGAAGTAAATGCTACATGAATCATCTGCCCGTACTCAAAATGGCCTCTGCCAGAAATGCCAGGGGGTGTTTTTCAAAATTATTTCTTAGCAAGATAAAGCATGAATGGATGGGAGAGTTTGCTTTGAATATTAACAATGAATTAAATAGCATTTTTGGTTGGTGGTGCTCAGATACAGTGCAGTTCCACTCTAAATTGATTAATGGATAATTGATCAACCAACCTGTTCATACATGGATTGAATCTCAGCCAGTCCCTGCTGAACCGGCCGAGGTTTGATACATCTATGGCTGGCTTTAGTACACACTTTCACTGGAAACATTTGTCTTAGTATATACAGAACAAAAACAGAGATATTTTTGCAATAAAGTGTACCAAATCATTGTTTTCTTGTATGCTTAAATTCTTAAACTGACTAGATAGATTTGTTCATTGCCCAACAAAACTGAAGTTTCATAGCAACTTTATTTAACTAATGGCACATAGTATCTTTACAGTATGTGACTTATTCTCTTTCTGAATACATATATTTATTAAAGTGTTCTTTCCTCTTTTCCTTACTTTTAGAAGCATGATGGTAGTTTTATGAGAAACACATAGAAACATATTCAGTATTTTTAATTCCCTGGTGTATGGGAAGAAAATAAAAGGTAATGTAAATTCAGTATACCTAATGTAGTTTAAACCACACATAGACCCAATCAGTAACATTTCTTATACACTTTAATACGTTAATGACATTTTGTAAGCTGTTCTAATTTTTTTTAAATAAACCGCTTTCATAACAAAATAAATAAAATACCTGGCAATCTTGCCGTGAAGGTCCTGTGTTCAGACACATCCTATGAGAGAATAAATATTGTCTCTCAATTGTACTACTGCATTGTCACCCTGTGACGTGTTCCTGGCTAACGCTGGAGTGAGTGCATATAGACAGGAAGTGGCTGAGAGGGGCTAGAAGAGATCAGCAGTGCTGACATGCAAAAAGTGGTGGAAAAAAAACAGGAAAAAAAAAATTGGTTTGAAAGAGAGGCAATTGTTTATGATACACTGGGCTTGATTTATTAAAACTAAAGAGTGCAAAATCTGGCGCAGCTCTGCATAGAGGCCAATCAGCTTCCAGGGTTTTTTTGGTCCAAGCTTAACCATTAGCCGCCCGGCCTATAGCCATTTGGCGGCGGCAAAAATGTATTACCTTTCCGGGTGCACGCCATTTGGCGTCCACCCGCACATGCGCAGTTCGCGCGGTTGCAGAGCCGCGCCGCGGCGCGATCTGTCACCGGCCGTGTACCTCGGACACGGCCGATGACAGATCTGAGTACCGGCCCCCGTTGCCGGTGCCATGTGACCTGCTGTCCAATCACAGCAGGTCACATGACAGTTGTATACAATGGATGGCTTCATTCATGCCATCCATTGTATACTAGTGCCTAGCTGTGAATGGTCACAGCAGGTCACATGCACATGTCATGTGATTAGCTGTGGCCAAATCACAGCTAAGCACAAAAAAAAAAAAAAAACCCTGAATGAATCGATGTCATTAAGGTAAATGCTTGCTTATAGCAAAGTAATTCTTTGCTATAAGCAAAGTAATTCTTTGCTATAAGCAAATTGTGTAAAAAAAAAAAAAATAATACTGATCACTTCCCCAAAGTAGTACAGTGTTACTATGGTAACATTGTACTACTTTGGTCATAGTAAAATATGAAAAAAAATCTTTAAAAAAAGTAAACAAAATGTAATAAAAAATTAAAAATAATAAAATATATATATATATATATATATATATTTTTTTTTTTTTTTTTCATACTGTCACCAGTCAGTATCCCTGTTCACCACCATGCCAGTTATATGATGACACTGTACTGCACTGGTGACAGTATGTAAAAAAAAAATAGTGAAAATAATGTTTTTAAGTTTTTCATTTTACGAAAAATTATGACAAAAAAATTACAACTTCAAAAAACTCGCCATGCCTCTTATGAAGTACGTCGGACTGTCTACTCTGCAAAAAGGGGTCATTTGGGGGATATCTGTACTGTTCTGACATTCTTGGACCTCAAGAAATTAGATTGGCTGTCAGTACTTCAGGATTGATCAATTTTCAGATCTATACTATAGTTTGTGAACTCTATAACTTTCCTACAAACTAAATAATACATCCTAATTTGGGTTATTTTCACCAAAGACATGTAGTAGAACACATCTTGGCCTAAATTTATGAAGAACAATTATTTATTTGTAAACTTTTATAACAGAAACAATGAAAAACAAGTTTTTTTTTTTTTCAAAATTTTTGGTCTTTTTTGTTAATTTAGCAAAAAATAAAAACCCCAGCGGTGATTAAATACCACCAAAAGAAAGCTCTAGTTGTGTGAAGAAAATGATAAAATTTTAGTTTGGGTACAATGTTGTATGACCGCGCAATTGTCATTCAAAGTGTGAGAGCGCTGAAACCTGAAAAATGGCCTGGGCAGGAAGGTGTAAAATTGCCCGGTATTGAAATGGTTAAATGAACAAGCTGAAATTAGAAGCTGATTGGCTACCATGCACAGCTGCACCAGACTTTACTCTCCAGTTTTAGTAAATATGCCCCATAGTGCTTTAGAAAAGTAAATGTCACCAGTTAGGGTCTAATATTGTTTAATTCACCACTGTCTGTCCGTCTCCAGGAATCCCGTCTTAACGCTAGAGTGACTCTGAAGAAGACTACATTACAAGTTCATCTGGACCTTAGGCGGTAACATAACAAACTCCTTTCTCCTTTCCATTCATGTGTATTGTTCTGAAGGGCCTGTCCAGTGTGTGTGCGCAGTACTATGCGTTTTATGGGGCATTACTGCGAATGTGATGCAACACACATACTGGGGTGCCTACCAGTGATGTTCATTTTGAATGGCTACACAATGCATTGGGATGTAAAGATCTGTGCATTGTGATGCCTTGCATTAAAAAAAAGTGGCATACACAATTTTGGACATCTCATAGCACAAACTGCATACGTGATGTTACATTTCTCATGTTTTCCCGTGTTAATAAATTGCTCTTTTCTTTTTTTTTTATAATTTACGTTTTATTTATTTTCAAAATGCATACAACAAAGTTGCATAGAATCACAAAATATAATAAAAGAACAGAGAAATAGGCTCATCGATGAGGGACATATAGGTACATACAATGCCAGTACATAACAGTGAATTAGCTATCATTTTCAGACAACTGAGTAGGCAAAAGGGGCGGGCTGACCATTCGAGCACTTGGGCACTGCCCGAGGGCCCGGGGTCAGTAGAGGGCCCCATAAAATGCCCCTGGTACATTTTATAGGCTTTTTTGGGTGAGTTTTGAGTGTGGGCAAGGACTCAGGGGCCCCATGATCCCCAATTGCCGGGGGGGCCCCATGAGTTGTCAGTCCGCCGCTGGTAGGCAAATCGGAAATGAAAAGATCCCATGGTTCCCAAACTGCTTCAAAGATGGGGACAGAGTTAGCATGCAAAGCAGTGAAGTACTCCATTCTTCTAATCTCTGTTATAACCTTCACCAATTCCATTCATGTAGGAGGTGTAGTAGAAAGCCAATGCATGGGAATGGTTCTCCTGGCCGCTGTTAAAACATGGAAGGATAGTTTCCTGGCAAATTTGGAGAGGCCTGAATAAATTGCTCTTTTACAGCACATTCAACTGTGTTACAAATTACATAACTGTCAATTGGAGGTTTTTCATGTTGCTTAGAGCTTAAAGTAGAACTATAGGCAAAACGTTGCTTCATTTTGGATAGAGTAAGGGAGGGTTATAACCCCTGTCAGATTTTTTTTTTTTTTTTTCGCTATTTGTGTCCCATTGCTAAGATTTCCCGTCACCTCCTGTCCCATAGCCAAACAGGAAGTGAGTAAATTAAGGGAATTCCTTGGGGAACCCCAGATACCAGTGTCCCCATTGGAAGATTTCCTCTCTATATTTGGGATTTTCTTTTAGTTTCACTTTAAATGATAATGGTAAACAGGAAAAACAGAGATGGAGAATCTTTTAAACTGGGGCACAGAGAGCAACGAAGACTGACAAATTTTCTCAACTATCTCCATTCTATACAAAACTGAAAAAAAAAAGTTTTGACTTTAGTTATACTTTAAAATGTACTGTGTAGTTGTGCCCTGAGGATCAATAAACATATCATTTTTAGTATCTTCTTTGTTAAAACAGAGCTCCACTAGAAAGGAGAAGTTCCACTTTAAGGACTGGTCTCCTGCTCCTCATGAAGAACTGCCATCTCTGGGAGTTCCATTTCCACTCTGACCACCTAGGTCAGGGGTCTGCAACCTTTAAGACATAAAGAGCCACTTGGACCCGTTTCCGAAGGGAAAAAAAAGACTGGGAGCCGCAAAACCATTGCAACATTTATAACAAATCCGACACTGCATATATTGCAAAAAGCACTCTGGTCATGAAGGGGGTTTAAGGGCCCAGTAAGCAAAGGGTTAATCAGGGCCACAGTGTATCTTCATAATCACAATCATAGCCTTAGGTCAGTGGTGGCAACCTTTTTTTTCAACTGAGCCAAATCTCACCAAAACCACGATTGAAATTTATTTTGACAGCCACATTTTTAAAACTGAAAATACATCCCCCATATAGTAATTCATCCCCCATAGTAATTCATCCCCCATATAGTAATTCATCCCCCATAGTAATTCATCCCCCATATAGTAATTCATCCCCCATATAGTAATTCATCCCCCATAGTAATTCATCCCCCCACACATAGTAATTCATCCCCCATATAGTAATTCATCCCCCATATAGTAATTCTTCCCCCATAGTAATTCATCCCCCATATAGTAATTCACCCCCCATATAGTAATTCATCCCCCATAGTAATTCATCCCCCATATAGTAATTCATCCCCCATATAGTAATTCATCCCCCATATAGTAATTCATCCCCCACATAGTAATTCATCCCCCATAGCAATTCATCCCCCATAGTAATTCATCCCCCATATAGTAATTCATCCCCCATATAGTAATTCTTCCCCCATAGTAATTCATCCCCCATATAGTAATTCTTCCCCCATAGTAATTCATCCCCCATATAGTAATTCTTCCCCCATAGTAATTCATCCCCCATATAATAATTCTTCCCCCATAGTAATTCATCCCCCACATAGTAATTCATTCCCCATAGTAATTCATCCCCCATAGTAATTCATGCCCCACATAGTAATTCATCCCCCACATAGTAATTCATCCCCCACACAGTAATTCATCCCCCACATAGTAATTCATCCCCCATATTGTCTCAATTCACTTACCTTTGCTCCGCGCGTTCCTCTCGCTGTGTTCCCGCGCCGTTCTGGTCTTCAGGGCGGACTGAGAGAGGAGTTCGTCACTCTGCCCCGCCTACATCCTGGCTGCCCCACCTACATCCTGACAGCCAATGTTCCACGCTCCGCGGGCCGGATTTTTGAGGAGGGAGGGGAGCGGGCGCCCGGCACACAGAAGAGCCGCATGTGGCTCGCGATCTGCGGCTTGCCGACCACCTGGTGGGCAGTGTGCTCTGGAGCCGCAGCAAAGATGAAAAAGAGCCGCATGCGGCTCTGGAGCCGTGGGTTGCCGACACCCGGTTTAGGTGGACAGCCATGTCTTGGTAGGCTTGCACTTGTGCAATACTCTTTCCATTTTCAGATGATGGATTGAACAGTGCTCCGTGAGATGTTCAAAGCTTGGGATTTTTTTTTATAACCTAACCCTGCTTTAAACTTCCCACAACTTTATCCCTGACCTGTCTGGTGTCTTCCTTGGCCTTCATGATGCTGTTTGTTCACTAATGTTCTCTAAAAAAACCTCCGAGGGCATCACAGAACAGCTGTATTTATACTGAGGTTAAATTACACACAGGTGGACTTTTTTTTACTAATTAGGTGACTTGTGAAGGCAATTGGTTCCTCTAGATTTTAGTTAGGGGTATCAAAGTAAAGGGGGCTGAAAACAAATGCACGCCACACTTTTAAGATATTTGTTAAAAAACATGATTTTTAATGTGTTTTGGTAGGATTTTGTGTTTAACAACCAGTCTCCTCCTACTACAAAAAAAATTCAGAAAGAATGAAAATGCATAAAAAATGCACAAGCATAGATTTGATCCTAGCCTAACTTGTGTTGAAACAGCTACTTTTGGTCACCATTACCAGGGTGACAGCACAATTGGAAGACAGGAACAGAGGGTTGCCACCCTAGAATAGGATGTGCCTTAAAGCAGAGTCCCAGTCACTCTGTAAAAAAATAAAACTGTAGCTGCTGACTTTTAAAAAACAACCACTCACCTGTCCCTCAATCCCACGGTGTCTTCTCCATAGCCCGTTTCACCGGCTGTCCGGTGTCCCCGGCGCCAGCATCTTTTGTGTGGGCACCCGGCTGGCACAGCTTGCGGCTTCACACCAGCTGCCCACTGCACATGCACGAGTAGTGCTGCGCTTTCTGAATGGTCCCGTAGTCTTCTGGGACGTGTCCCAGAAGACGTCAGGGAAGGAGGGGGGAGGACAACAGTAGAAGTGGGAGCGGGTGCCTGTCAATTTTGGGTGCTCACTCCCCCCGCTCCCCAAAGGTGCCAATCCTTAATGGGGAGTGGTGGACCAGTCCTTAAAGTGGAACTTCGGGTGGAGCTCTGCTTTAAGGACATCAATGGAAGTATCGCCAGGTATTACTTCAATGAAAGCTACAGTATTAAATGTGACTTTTGAGATGACATGAGCATGTTAAAGTGGAACTTCACTGAAAACAGAAGTGCTGCTCTTCCAAATCCAAAAAGTAACAACAGTTTTTTCTTGTGGGGGGGGTTCCTAGTTTTGACAGGTACCCACTCCCTACGTCCACTGGAATTGTCTAGCCCAGGGGTCTGCAACCTTTAAGACATAAAGAGCCACTTGGACCCGTTTCCGAAGGGAAAAAAAAGACTGGGAGCCGCAAAACCATTGCAACATTTATAACAAATCCGACACTGCATATATTGCAAAAAGCACTCTGGTCATGAAGGGGGTTTAAGGGCCCAGTAAGCAAAGGGTTAATCAGGGCCACAGTGTATCTTCATAATCACAATCATAGCCTTAGGTCAGTGGTGGGCAACCTTTTTTTTCAACTGAGCCAAATCTCGCCAAAACCACGATTGAAATTTATTTTGACAGCCACATTTTTAAAACTGAAAATACATCCCCCATATAGTAATTCATCCCCCATAGTAATTCATCCCCCATATAGTAATTCATCCCCCATAGTAATTCATCCCCCATATAGTAATTCATCCCCCATATAGTAATTCATCCCCCACATAGTAATTCATCCCCCATAGTAATTCATCCCCCATATAGTAATTCATCCCCCATATAGTAATTCTTCCCCCATAGTAATTCATCCCCCATATAGTAATTCATCCCCCATAGTAATTCATTCCCCATATAGTAATTCATCCCCCATATAGTAATTCATCCCCCATATAGTAATTCATCCCCATAGTAATTCATCCCCCACATAGTAATTCATCCCCCATAGTAATTCATCCCCATAGTAATTCATCCCCCATATAGTAATTCATCCCCCATATAGTAATTCTTCCCCCATAGTAATTCATCCCCCATATAGTAATTCTTCCCCCATAGTAATTCATCCCCATATAGTAATTCTTCCCCCATAGTAATTCATCCCCCATATAATAATTCTTCCCCCATAGTAATTCATCCCCCACATAGTAATTCATTCCCCATAGTAATTCATCCCCCATAGTAATTCATGCCCCACATAGTAATTCATCCCCCACATAGTAATTCATCCCCCACACAGTAATTCATCCCCCACATAGTAATTCATCCCCCATATTGTCTCAATTCACTTACCTTTGCTCCGCGCGTTCCTCTCGCTGTGTTCCCGCGCCGTTCTGGTCTTCAGGGCGGACTGAGAGAGGAGTTCGTCACTCTGCCCCGCCTACATCCTGGCTGCCCCACCTACATCCTGACAGCCAATGTTCCACGCTCCGCGGGCCGGATTTTTGAGGAGGGAGGGGAGCGGGCGCCCGGCACACAGAAGAGCCGCATGTGGCTCGCGATCTGCGGCTTGCCGACTACCTGGTGGGCAGTGTGCTCCGGAGCCGCAGCAAAGATGAAAAAGAGCCGCATGCGGCTCTGGAGCCGCGGGTTGCCGACACCCGACCTAGGTGATCAAAAGCAGAAGTTCTCCTCCCTCCCCACGTGACAGGTCCCAGAAGACTGCGGGACCATTCACAAGCTGTCACACCCGGGTGCCTACACTCAGGGCCATGGATAAGGGGGTACCACCAGTCCTTCTGTACGGGGCCCAGGCCAGTAGGGGGGCCCAGGCAGCTGGGTAAATCAGATGTGCATAGGGAGGGTGGGAATGCAATTACTGGAACCAATCCCCTGTATGGTTCTCTCTGCAGCAGCTGAAATCTGGCTTCTTCTCCTCTCCCTCCCGCTGGTGTTCAGCTCCTGCAGAGAGAACCATACAGGGGATCAATTCCAGTAATTCGCCCCACCCATCATCCTTCCTGTGCAGCATACATTTCCCCTATGTTGCCCAGGCCCCTCTGTGTCCCCCCCCCCCAGTGCCCCTGGGTTCCCTCCTCTCCCTCCCACCGTTAACTGCAAGCACACAATAGGATCCATCCGGATGATGAACACATTAATTGATCAGTACTGGTTATTCACTGTGTTAATTCATAACTGAAGCATAGTAAACTGTATTTTTTTTTTGTGGGGGGGGGGAGGTAGTCAGGTTTACTATATGGGGCCCTGTGGTTTCTAACAGCAGCCCTGCCCACACTTAAGATGACGGTGCCAGGGACAGAGGACAGCCGGTAAACCCAGCTGGGGTGAACACATCGCTGGATTGTGGGACAGATGAGTGACTTTTATTTTTTTCAGAGGAGACTAGACAACCGCTTTAATATTCTTTGAAACAATACTGTATTTACTATGGAATATTACTAAAAACATTGATATAAACCATTTTTTGAAAGTTATGTAATTTATGTTTAGTGACAATTTAACCTACATTCTTTTTTGTATGTTAATAAAAACATACATAGTTTGCTTCTGTAATGAGCGCACTTATAAATCTTTATAGATTCCGAATATACTCCAACAAGTCAGCACTGGAATCCTTGGCGGTGAGTGTATTACTGTCTGTTATTTCAAGATAGAATATTTGGAATAGAAAATGTATTTAATTTAAATTGTTTCTACCACAGCTTATACCTTTGCAAAGTCCTCTGAAGACCCTTTTGCAGCTGACTGTGATGCCTGTCCTTAATGGTAAAATGAATAATTTATCTATTGGGATTATAAAATATAGAAAAACGGAAGTATTGAAAAAAACAGAATTTGTGATACACTTTATGGCTTAACCACTTATGGCTGTATACATACATGGGCCGGACGGGCGCAGTGCAGCAGCGGGTGGCCGTTTATAAACGTCTTCCCGCTTCCCTGCCTGTGCGCGCTCCCTAGGAGCACTCAGCACCGCTATCCAGTGCCCACTGTGTCTGGAGGAACACCGATCGCGGTATGGGACTTCTGTGTGAGGTCCCTATTCATGTGATCACTGATTGGCCAATCAGTGATCACATGAATAGTAGTAAGCAAAATGTGACTTCTGACATCATTGCTTACTACTAGTGAAATCTGTGAATGATCACAGAGGTCACATAGTACAGGGCTACTCACAACAGCCTTGTACCATGTGACAAGCTGTGACCAATCACGGATCTCACAGTATTTCTCAACGGTTGTAGGAATGCAGCCAGAGAGAAGGAGAAATTATTGCTAAAAAAAATATAATTTTGGTTATAAACTAATTTGGATTCATTATTTGTGTTTACTAAAAAGATAACTGAATACATTTTGGCCAAGATTTATGAAGAAAGATTATTTATTTGCAACATTTTATAAGAAAAACACTTTTTTTAAAAAAATGTTTGGACGTTTTCATTTATATAGCAAAAAAAAAAAAATCCCATCAGTGAATAAATACCACCAAAATTAAGTTTTATCTGTCTCAAAAAAAATGCTAAAAAAATGTATACAGTGTTGCATGACTGCGCATTTGTCATTCAAAGCGTGACGGCGCTGAAAGCTGAAAATTGGCCTGGACAGGAAGGGGGTGAAAGTTTCCAGACTTGAAGTGGTTAAAGTATATGGACATGAGGATATGAGTATGAGTTTTTCCAGTGAAGGGTACTGTTAATGCTATTGCATAAGTACCAACATTTTTTAGACAACTGTGATTCCAACCTTGTTGACACAGTTTTGAGAAGGCCCTCTTTTTATTCCAGTATGACTTTGCCCCTATGCAAGTCATGAAGTCATGGTTTGCTTAGGTGTAGAGGAAAGCAGCTAGCATAAAAAAAACATGAACTCAACCCTCTACTGAGCATCTCGGGGATGAGTTGAATTGGGAGCCAGATCTCTTCATCAAACATCAGTACCTGACCTCACAAATGCTCTGTTGGCTATGAAATACTCTACAATCTGTTCACATGGGATATTGGAGCATAGTAATGTGCTGTCACAGCACTTAAACCACAGCTACTGACTCTGCTTAAAGAAACATATTTCACCTGTTAGGTTTCTCTCAGGGTTTCCTCATCTTGGTCTGTCACCAAAGCAATACGCACTCTGAAAGCAAAAATTACACAGACTTACGAAAGCTTAATCTGGACCAATGAGCAGCAGCAAATCAAGTTAGAGCAGGGAATGTAAGCACAAATAGTGTATGAAGCCTACTGTTTAGCAGTCCTGTTTTTTTGCCTACTATAAGCAAAATGTAGGGTTTTTTCAAGTTCTAGAAACAAACTGGAAAGGTCTCCCCACCAAAAATAGATAAAGGGGCACTGTACATGTGGGGGCATGTTTTCCCTCGCTCTAGCTGCACGGTGGCACCACAGCACAGTGGCTAAATGGTTAGCACTTCCACCTGGCAGTACCAAGGTCATTGGTTCAAATCCCAACCATGGCACCACCTGCTTGTAGTTTGCATGTTCTCCCTGTGCCTGAATGGGTTTCCTCCCACACTTCAGATACATGCTTGTAGGTTAATTGTATCCTGCCTAAATTGGCCCTAGTATGTGTATGTATGAATGTGAGTTAGGGACCTTAGATTGTACACCCATTGAGGGTTAGGGACTGATGTGAATGTACAATATATATGTGAAGCACTGTGCAAATGGACAGTGCTATATAAGCACCTGTAATAAAATAATGTAAACCACCATTCCAGATGGCCAAAAATGCTTCTTCATGTAGGATCATTCAAAATGGCAGTTGAAGCTTGGACTTTTGTTCCACTCTATCACTTAATACTTTCTCTCTGGTGTTGAACACTGCCACATCCAACTGTTCTTAGAGATATGCAAAGCAAGCCTTGATTGCAACCAAATGCCAACTACTTGGCCATTGCAAGAAACCCCTGCAACAATGTGGTCATAATCACATCAGCCCAGGGCAGCATACACAAATGAGAACACACCGTGAACAAAGAGATAAGTAGGAAATACAGAAAAGGAAACCACAAGGAGGAAATGAGACTTAGCACTGGTAGCCATGTATGAAAATACCCCTTAAAATTGACACAAGGGTTTTACAAGTTATGAAAAAATCTACTTACTTATTTACCTATGTTCCATAGAAAGAACAAAAGGAGGGGTCAGCATCCCACTTCCTGAAGGGTTGGATTTCACCAGGGAAACAACTACACATCATGCTGTAAGTTGCCGAAATTCCACACTTGGTAAATCTTACATGTTGGTGCCTTTACTAAGAATAAGAGGTATGATGTTGCTACCTATGTTTTATGCAGGGTTTCATTCTTATTGGTGGAGATCTACATTTCTCCAAGAGTTTGCGTGAAGTCATCGAGAAATACCGTCCTGAGACAACATCTCTTCCAGAAACCACCAAGGCTCCAATGAGGCTGTCTGAGAACCAACATACCCAAGTCTCTCTTGAGACCATAGAATGATTTTCCTCTAAGGTTTTAGCTCGGTGAGAGCATATCAGAAATCTAAGGCACCTTTGCGGTGGCCTAACAATTCAAAGTGATTCATCGAGAACCATCCAGTAGTCTACAAGGAAGGCCCATGGATCATGTTAGACTATCAAAAGCATTGTATAAGGGCAACAGGATTCTGGAGGAATCTTATGTCTGATTTTAGAATACCATTGCACTTATTTGATTTTATCCAAAAAGAGACATTTATTGATACAGACATAATTATTCTAAAAAGCAATAACATATCTAAAGAACTTTACCATCACTGAGAAAAGCAAACTTTCTAACATTTATGATCAATAACATGATGTATAACTAACAGATAACATACAGAATAACAGAGATGTCTGGTTTAACAAAGATTTGTGTAGTGTCTCATCCATTGGGGTGATCTAGAAGGGCTTGTTATTGTCAAAGTGTTTTAGTATGGTAAAAGCTACTTCAAGTCTGTTTGTTGATACCACATGACCAACTTCCTGCAAACAAAGAAAATGAGAAAAATTAAAGGATAAATGCACTGTCAAACAACATGCACTTATCCTTTTTACTTCTCCCACCCGACCTACAGTATCCTATCCTACCCAGATGAATACTTGCAATAGCCATGGCCCAACCTCCAGTAATGAGGGGGGGATTTATCATAATTTAGTGTGATTTTTACTAACATGTACTAAAGTGCTTTTCAAAAAGATACCTACACCCACTGCTGTGCTCTGTGGTTGCACCTACAGGCTCTATGTTATTTCTGAGTTGTGATGTAAGGGCAAGTGGGAGGAATTAATAAGGGTAGTGAATTGCTTTAAGATAAAGATATAACTCAGCTTAAGTACATATGGTTCCAATGCTGGCTATAGACATGCAATTTTTTAGGCAATTTCAACCAACTTGCAATTGCAAAAATGGCCAAATAAATCAAATCATCCAAGTACTGACAGATTTATAGAAACTGAAATAATCAAAACTGTTGATGATAGATTCCCTTGATCTGTTTCATAATAAGACCAAAAACAACCTAAAAGTAGTTGAAATTGCCTAAAAATGTCACATGGTTGGCCAACACTAATCTTTCATAAATTTAAATCTGTGTATTCTGTTAAAACACCCAGTTTTTTATTTTAAAGTGTATTAAAAAAGACCAAACTTTTTTTTATAGTTTTGAATATAGTAGAAAATGGTTAGCAGCCATGTTAGGTTTTGATTTCTGCTTGTGTTCCCCATGAGGATATTCTCCCTTTCTATTTGTTATGGTGACCACTGTCAGGAAGACAAGAAAAGTAATGAAATAATCACAATCTGGAGTTACCAAAACAGGAATAGAAGGTATTCTTCCAAAGGGGACACTTGCTGCTTGGACAGCTGTCTAAAATGATTCCCCCCATTTTGGGGAGATTGCCTCTTGTTTTGTGTTTTGTCTTTGTCACGGGAGGCATAGAGAATTATCCCCAGTGTGACAATGCAAAAAAAAAACTTACAGTGATTTTAGCCATATCTAGCTCTATCCATACAAACCAAAATGGCTTTTGATATACTTTAAGGCACACTTTCAGAATGTGTTGAAGATTATCAAATCCATCATACGGTGTCATATACAAAGGCATATGAGATCATCATAAATTTTACATCATGCTTATTATGTCAGCTGACATGACTAGATGGTGAAGGCTAATTTAATCAACAGAAGAAGGGATAGAGTTATACTCCCTGTCTATGTAAGTCAATTATCATTTGCTGCCCTTCCTTCCTCAGTGGATTGGCTGGCCTTGGTATCACACTGATAAGATCCAACAGCATAGCCACAAAAGGCCACACCAAGAAGGAAGGGGTGAAGAGAGAGTCAGTTTCCCACTCCACACTGTGTAACCAACAATTACAAGAGTAAGGTAGACCATCAGCCTACGTTGCTATTTATATGGTTCTAGTACAGACCCAATAAAAATAATAAAACTCTACAGGGAAATCAGCAATATGGACCCAGCCAGGTTGCACTGGCAGGCATGTTGGCACTGTGTTTTTGCAAATAATGTTTTTGTCCTTTGAGCTATATATATACTGTACAGTATACCAATCACCCATAACATTATGACCACCCTCCTAATATTGCTGCCAGTACAGCTCTCACCCACCAAGGCATGGGCTCCACTAGACCTCTGAAGGTATGTCGTGGTATCTGCTGGCCTTCTTCCCACAGTGCATCATGGTGCCAACTATTCCTCAGGTAAGTGACACATGTGCACCTAGCCATCAACATTGTAAAAGAAAACATGATTCATAAGACCAGGCCACCTTCGTGCTCCATGACCAGTTTTGATACTCACGTGCCCATCGTAGGTGTTTTTGGCTGTGGACACAGATCTGCATGGGCACCCTGAATGGTCTCTGGCTAGACAGCCCCATACGCAACAAACTGTAATGCACTACTGTATGTGTTCAGACACCTTTTTATTGAAACCAGAATTAACTTTTTCAGCATTTTGAGCTACAGGAGCTCTGCTATTGGATCGGATCACACAGGCCAGCCTTCGTTTCCCACATGCATCAATGAGCCTTGGCTGCCCATGACCCTGTCACTGGATTGCCAGTTTTCCTTCCTTGGACCACTTTTGGTAGGTCCTGACCATTGCAGAACACATGTCCAAACATGCCTGAGAAGATCCCTGATCCTGAACATCGTATGTTGATCACTTTGTTGCTGATAAAAATTTGTATAGTTATTTTAGTTGTAGGGGCACTGGCACAAGAGTTTTCCAGCACCAGTACCAGTACCAGTAAACTCAACATGAACAAATAAGTACCAGCAATTTTCTGACTATTATATGACAAATAATAACATCCATAAAACAAAACTGAAAGGATTAACCTAATGGCTAAAGCTACTATCCAATTTTCAACATACATAGTGAAACTCAACCTAGCCCCTAGCTCTTAAATTAAGCTCTGGCCCTTCCATTAACCCTTGACCCTCGACCGTACCCCAAAGCTTAACCCTAACAGTCTTTCGAGCTTACAATCTGGGAGGGAGGGGGTACAGCACTGATATTACTTTTGCAACAAAACGTAATTGAAGAAAATCAAATATACAGTAAATTGTATTAAATTTTTACTAACATACATAATGCCATGATATTGGTGCCCAGCAATGCATTAAAATCCCTACACTGGAAATAATGGATCCACTCTGAGCTCTACACATTGAAACCATTGGTATCACTCGTCTACCAGAACCAAAGCTGCAAAGTTCTACACAACTGATTAATTTAAAGTTACCTACATCTCTAGCATCTTTCCACATGACTTATTTTATATGAGATACATGTATCTCCTGTTCAGCAGGTTGCTCTAACCACTCAGTAGCAAGCAAGTTGCAAGCCATGTCTGTATATCACCATTATATATAAATGGTAGTTTTAGAAAAAAGAAGCCAATGAATGAAGAAATGAATCAATCAACCAACCAGTCAGAAACTGTTCAAAACTGGCTACTGTGACATATGGTGGCTATCAGGGGCGGACTGACAACTCATGGGGCCCCCGGGCAATAGGGGATCATGGGGCCCCTGTGCCCTTGCCCAAACTCAAAAATGAAAAAGGTACCAGGGGCATCTTATGGGGCCCCCTACTGACCCTGGGCCCTTGGGCAGTGCCCGAGTTTTCAAATGGTCAGTCCGCCCCTGGTGGCTATAGTCTAGATATATTTACTCTTTATACTGCCCTACTCAGTAAGCTTAATAATAACCATACAGGCTATTAATAAATGTTTTACTAAAAATGGGCTCCATATCATTCCTGGAATATCAGGAGTACTTTCATATTTTCCAAATAAGGCTTGTCTAAAGGGAGGTATACGTACATTCTCTGCCTCCTCCACAAATTGTGTTGTTAACGGTCTGTAAAGTATTATTATTATGCAGTATTTATAAAGCGCCGATAGTTCGCTCAGCGCTGTACATTACAAAGGGGGACAGAACATGTGACAGAACAATAACAATACAATGCAAAACATGAGGGGATTGAGGGCCCTGCTCTTTCAAACTTACAATCTAGGAGGGAGGGGATAGTGGCACAGGAGGAGATAGCTGTGGGGGATGGAGTGGTAGGAAGAGTGGAGGAGGTCAGCAAGTTAGCAGGGGGTGGGGTAGGCTTCCCTGAAGAGATGGATTTTCAGGGTGCGACTAAAGGAGAGTAGGTGATAGTCTGAGGGGTTGGGCAGGGAGTTCCAGAGGATGGGTGACACCCTGGAGAAGTCCTGGAGGTGGGCATGGGAGGAGGAGACCAGAGAAGGAGGTCCTGTGAGGAGCGGAGTGTGCGTGCTGGGTGGTACTTGGATATTAGGTCAGTGATGTAGTTCGGGGCAGTATGGTGGAAAGCTTTGTACGTCAGTGTTAGGATCTTGAATTTGATCCGCTGCGCAATCGGAAGCCAGTGGAGGGATTGGCAGAGGGGGGTGGCGGAGACAGTGCGGTTGGAAAGGTGAATGAGTCTGGCTGCCGTATTCAGGATCGACTGAAGCGGGGATAGCCAGCGGCGAGGCAGGCCAGTAAGGAAGGAGTTGCAGTAATCGAGTGGTTTCTGGGGTTAGGAACGTGCGGATTGTGGCGATGTTGCGGAGCTGGAGTCTGCACGAGTTTGTTAAAGATTGGACTTGGGGCTGGAAGGATAGGTTGTAGTCCAGAATGACACCAAGTACTCTGGCCTGCGGGGCGGGTTTGATGGTGGTGTTGTTGGACATGATGGAGAAGTCAATGGGGTGTGGTGTCCGGGCTGGGGGGAAGACAAGAAAGTATAGGAATGTTTTCCCATTCAAAATGTAAGCCTCAGGCTAGGAATATCATTTGCTAAATCAAATAATAAAAAAGTATGTTTATCATATGAAAATGGGTCACTGAAAAATGTCTTAAAGTATAAGTGTAGTTTAAAATTTAAGAAATGATA